CCTGATAACACGCTTGTCAGCCGGCAAATTGGACCCTCAAGCAGGCCCAACGCCTCTTAGGGTATCTCAATTTTGCGACCTTCATCACCCACCGGGGAAGGTTGCGTTGCCGAACGCTGCAGCGACACAGCAATGCATTTAGGAGAGCTCCGCTTAGCCCGAGTTCTCTTGCAGAGGTGAATCAGGACATGGTATGGTGTTTGCACAACCTCAGTCACAAAACACCGATTCACTTCAAAACAAGGCATGTGAATTACATTGTCACCGATGCCTCGGATCTACAATGGGGAGCGCTAATCAACAACAAACCCCTGAATGGTTCTTGGACTCAAAGTCAGATTGAGTGGCATTGCAATTTAAAGGAGATGCACGCTGTGGTAGCAGCAATCTCTTTGACATCGTCCTAAAGAACTCGATGGTAATCCTGCAAAGCGACAGCAAAACTGTTGTATCGTACATAAAAAACGAAGGAGGAACAAGGTCCCAAATGCTGTTAAAATTGACAAAAGATCTTCTGGCACTGACGAACAGTTTGAATATTGTACTTATCCCTCACTTCCTTGCCGGGAATGTACAACGTGGAAGCCGATTACCTCTCGCGCAATCGCAGGGGCACCGAATGGCATCTCTTGAAAGAGGCAACCACGGACATATTCAGACGATGGGGAACCCCCGAAATAGATCTTTTCGCGTCACGAGAGGCTCTTGTCGTGGCAAGTTATGTGTCGCTAGACTTATTAGACTCCAACACTTGCTTCACCACGCCTTCAGTAAATGCTGGCGATACGATCTAGCGTGGATATTTCCACCGCCAGTGCCTCTACCTCGAGTGCTGCACCATCTCAACTTATCCCAAGGGAAGTTCATAATAATAGCACCCAGGTGGAGGAAGCCTTTTGGCGCCCGGATTTGAAAGGCCGAGCACTTGCACCCTCGCTATCAATACGGAATCTAAACAAAACCCTGATAAATACCGTAACGGGTCAACCTCCTCCTCAAGGGCAGAAATTACAGTTGGAAGCGTGGCTGATTTTGGCTGGAAAACACGAGACGAAAAACAACTTATTTCGTCGTGTTTGAGAGCTTCAACAAGGAAAACATATGCCCCTATTTGGTATAAATGGGTAAATTGGTGTCAATGTTAACGTAAAATTGTAAAAACCGTTAGATTGTAATCTATCTCGCGAGATTATAAACTGTCGAAAGATTGTGAACCTCAGCGTACTGCTTACAATTTAACGTATTATTATTCGGTAGATTGTAATCTATCGAAGTGAAACCGTCAAATTGTGAAACGGCCATTTCCTACTTTTCTATTGGTTATAAGAGATGTGACATTCTCGGTAAATTAATCGAATCGATTATTTCCTCATTTGTTAATTTTAAATTTAAACCTAATTTAACCATTACTTGTCAAATGTACATACATTACATTAACTTCATGTTTTAATTAGTGTACGGTTCCGAAAATTTTGAAATTATTCAAAAATAATCTATTTTTTAAAAGTGAAAATCGATTTTTGTATTCGTTTTTGTATTCGATTTCGAGTTTCAGTTGAACAGTTATTAAAAAAAAAATATTAATATACTAACCTAACCTAACCGAATAATAATACATTTTTTGGACAGCACCGGCGCTACGGGAAATGCAGCCCCTCCACCCTTGCGTGCCAAAGCACAGGCAATTTATTCAAGCCTCCGCAGCTTGCATAATGCCTGTGCTTTGTTACAGCGGGTGGGGGCTGCTCTTCCACTGCGCCTCCGATTTTTTTATATACACTCTAGGGGTAGGGCAGACAAGACCACGTGGATAGTGGGGTGCTCTGATTCGGTTTTGGGTACTTTTTGAATAATTTAAAAATTTTCGGAACCATACAATAATTGAAACATTTAGTTAATGTATGTACATTTGACAAGTAATGGTTAAATTAGTAAATTTAAAATTAACAAATGAGGAAATAATCGATTCGATTAGGTTCAATTTTAAAAATAACAAATGAGGAAATAATCGATCCGATTAATTTACCGAGAATGTCACATCACTTATAACCAATAGAAAAGTAGAAAATGGCCGTTTCACAATTTGACGGTTTCACTTCGACAGATTACAATCTACCGAATAATAATACGTTAAATTGTAAGCAGTACGTTGAGTTCACAATCTTTCGACAGTTTACAATCTCGCGAGATAGATTACAATCTAACGGTGTTTACAATTTTACGGTGACATCAACATAGTAATATAAACTGTCGATTCCCGGCTCCTCCTGATGTAGCTAGATACTTAGCAAACCTATTTATAAAGGATCATCTGGCATAGATATCTAAATATCTAAATCTATTATCTAAATAGATCTATATCTATTTAGTACACAAATCTGACATAGCATCAGTTTGTTAAAATTTTATCTAATAAATTAGTAAAACATATCCTTAAAGCGCTAGCTCAATCCTATCTATAGCTAGACCAATCGCGCAGTAATTGCCAGTATGGGAAGCGGGGAAAGTTATAAATTATTTGAAAAGCCTAAAACTAGATGAGCAAAATTTATTTCATAGCTCGAAACACACAGCCACAATAATTTTATTGGCTTCTGGGCATAGAGTTCATGATTTGACTCTCTCGCTTTTTCGAGCCTCAGCATTTTATTGATAACGGTGATTCCATCACTTTGCATCCGGGTCTCGGTTTTAAAACAGATACAGGAACGTATATACAGTCAAGTTGGACGTTTTTATCGTGCCCGGAGAAGCATCTAAATCCCTTATTTTGGCTTAGGACACTCATAACTGTCTCTAATAATAGATGAGGCTCCTTGACAAATTTGTTTATTACAACCAGATATCCTGTAAGACCAGCTACGCCCACAATTTTTGGGAGCTGGGTCAAGAAACCCCTTTTGGAATCAGGTATCGAAGCATCTCGGGGTACTTGATCAGCTGTTGCTTCGCTAAATTCATGCGTCATGAAAGTACATTAAAGATATATTATTGTCGAAATCTAGATAATAATAGTCAGAATGCTGAGACTCAATCAGAAGTCTCTTTCTCAGTACTTTCGGCCGCTTAATGATTAGCCAAGTATTCTACTTCATTATAAACAATAAAAAATTTGTTATTATGTTTATTAAATGATGCTAAAGCTTAGGCTTTAATTAGCTTGTATTGTTTATTTCATCATGATTCTATCGGATATAAATAATTCAAATCACATTGTTGCGTTTTTTTTTAGTTATTAATATATAACTTTACAAGCCACCAGGAGATAACAAACACGTCTCTCATAATGGACCTCGGACGTCAAACGGAACACATAATATAGAAATTTTACCTAAAAATAAAATTTGTATTATGTTTCCTAAGACGTCCGAGGTCCAAACAAGCTCTTCCTGGTTCTCTTATTATGAGACAAACAATGAACAAGAACTCTGGCGGCTTGCTTTAGCGCGATAAAAAGTTAGTTCCAGTTTCAAACGCTGGGCGCTGGCGGCGGTGTCACGTGGTGGGAAAAGGTCGGATACTAGCGATTTGGGCGGAAAAGGAAACGATGTACTCTCATAATGGACCTCGGACGTCTTAGGAAACATAATACAAATTTTATTTTTAGGTAAAATTTCTATATTCTTTGTAGGTTGGGAGGTTGTTGGCATGACATTTATCTGTGGAGCTGTGGCAGCTTTGGCGCCATTCTGTCACTCATTGACATTTTAATTCAATCATTGTTATCTATTTGTTTTAAATGTTGATAAACTATGGGGAAATAAAACAAGAAACCGTTTAAATTTTGTATTTGTTAACAATTAGTAACCGATGATACGAATTAGAAGATAAGATTTAAATTACACAGAGGTTTAAAACGGTCATGTAATTCCTTTATTTTTAAGGGTTTCTTAGTGTAATTTAAGTATTATGTTTCTAAATAACAAAGAAAACAGTTAGTTACGAAACTATGTAAATAAATATTAACAATATATCTTTTTAATGTACTTTTATTTACGCATACAGCGAGGATACCAATAAACATTATATACAAATATAATTTCGATAATCATTAACATTTTTTTATAAAACGTTTGGAAAATATGGAGTTGATAACAGGTATGGTATCAAGATATAACTTGCTGAACACAAAAGACTATAAAAAAAAAGTTGAAAAAGTTTTTGAAGTTATACTTCTTTAGGCGCGTTATGAAAAATTGATGAGAGTGAAATTGTAAGATGCGCGCGCACCGTGACACAAAATTAACAGAATGAAGTTGCCCACGCAAGATGCTACGGCATTGGACATAATTTAAAAACAACATTCGAAAAATAATAGAATTTATGTTACACTTAATGTAAGAGAATAATAATAAATATTTATTTATTTAAATTTTCAAATGTAAACTGAACTTGATTGACTATAATAACTCCTTTTCCAGTCTTTGATTATTTAATTGTAATTAATTATCTGCATGCTATCAAAAACTATTTTTAATAATGCCAAAGAAGTATAACTTCTTACGGGCGTAGGTACATAAGTACACGCACCCTTTTTTTATATTTTACAATGATACTGGCCATTCGAAAATTTCTAAAAATAAGACGAAATAATAATTTTACATTCCTCGCTATATCTCAAAATATAATTATGGCATATATTCTAAAAATAATGTTAACATGTGATTTAATATCATTTATATTCCATACAAAATTTTGGTCGATAACCACCGATTCCGACGGAATATATGCACCGCAAGCGTACCGCAAGTATAAAGCATAATTGATATATTTAATTGATTTTAAACATTAAATTTAACATTTTCGGGATTTTTAGAATACTTTAATTTCAATAATTTTTACAAATACCATAGAGATTTCTTCCTCCGAATTCTTTATACTAAATAATCATATATTTTTAAAAAGAAATTGAACCTTCTAAAAAAGACCCAAAAATTTACAAAATTTATACCAAATACAATTTTTAGAATTATTACAATATGTTTACCAATAACTAGTGGTTAGGCAGCGGTGGCCTGCAGATATCTGCGTAATTCCTCCTGAGTATCGAATATCATGACGGGGAATGGAGAGCCAGGGACATGGCGACCAGCCCAACGGACTTCCACGCGGTAGTCACCCGGTTCGGTGGGAGAAAACTGAAAAAAAAAAAAATAGATAAAACTAGCTAACCCGGCCAAATATATTATTCCTATACCCTGATTTTTAATTCCGTAGAATTCTGACATTTCATAAGTGTTACCACTAAAAAAGTTCTCCACCGAAAAAGGGAGCGTTCAAGTATTACGTAACGAATTTTGGGAGGGGGGAGGGGGTTCCTTTTGTAAAACGTTACGATGCGGGTCGGGGATTAAATTACGCGTTATTGTTGATATTTTTTCGACATACACCACATAATAGTAACTAAAGAGTCACTAGGTGGTCACGAAACGTTTTACTATACTTGGGTACTGAAAAACGTTACGACAAGTTACATGGGGGGGTCAATAATCTCCAAAAATAGCGTTACGTAATACTTGAACGATCCCAAAGGGACAAATTTGACCCATTTAAGGGTAATAAAAAAAAGCTAGGTATTCTTTATGTTTTACCTACAAAAAAGTAAATCTTAATATTTACTTACTCAAGTGACCTAATACAAAAATAACTAACATTTCAATATCATATGTTTGTAGGTGAATATGTCAACTGTCAACTGTCATATATGTCAAGAATGCTCAATGAACTTTTTGTCAGTTTGATATATGACATTGAAATTAGCTGAAAAGTGTGAAAACTATTAAAATATGAACTTTAAATTTAAAATATAATATACCTTGCACAATATAGTCCGGTCTTTCTGATTTTCCCTTTGCATCTCAACGCGAAAGGCGCCTTTGGGCCCTCGAACTCTGACGGTCAGTTGGCCTGCGCCTGCCCCGCGAGTGTCGCAAATAAACCGAGATTGAAAAGTCGCTAACACACCCGCTTCGATGCCTGGGCCGTATACACGGACCTGTAAAGAAATTCCAAAATTATTTCAACGATATAATTCTTTTTAAGCTATTGCATAGAAATACCGTAACGAAAAAAACCTAATACACGACGTAATATAGGTGAGTTAGAGTGGGATAGAACGCATACTGCGTACATCTCTCCGACGAGATCGGTGACGTAGCGCGGGTGCGTTAGAGCGGGACAGAACGCATACTTCGTCTCACATTTCTCTGACGAGATCGGTGACGTAGCGTAAGCGCGGCCGGTGCAGCCAGTACGCGTTAGAGTGAGACAGACTATATAGGCGTGTTAGTCTGGTAGAGTGGTAGATTGAATTAATATAAAATAAAAAAAATACTGCATAAATAATTATAATGAGATGATAAAAAACGCTATGCAATAGCTTAACCGCGGCAGTCCCCGAGTGCCACGCGTTTTTTTATTATTTGCTACACGAGATCAGAGACAATTGACAATTACAATACAACAGAGGCAGCTGTTACTTGTAACAGATTTAATTTTGACAATTCTTGAGAAATAAATTGAAATACGGGTCTTAGGAACGAAACTAAGTTATTTTATTATATTATATTGTGACATTTATAGGCGTTATTGTATTTCCTTTGGGGCCGTTCAAGTATTACGTGAGCACTTTTGGGGAGAAAGGGGAGGGGGAGGGGGGGTGTGTGTCTTTCTTGTTTGGTGATTACGTCAACAGTAATTATTAACTTTTTTACACACATTGTCTATGCTTGAAAACGAAATGCATTTTCGAGGATTCCTACGAAAAATAATATTAAGTTTTTGAACTACTATTTTTTTATTTTTCGAGAGATTTGCTTATTTTTGCTAACAACAGGAAGGGGTTGTGGGGGGTAAAACTGCAGTAAATCTGCTTACGTAATACTTGATCGGCCCCTTTTTAGTAACACTTTCATAGTAAATAAATGAATAATTATTAAATACCTTTGATGGATCAGGGGCTCCGGCCACTTTGAGGGTGAAGGGCGATCCCGGAACGTGTTCGCCGGCGAATTGTACGCTGAGTACGTGTTTTCCCGCTTCAGCTGGCTTCACGTTTAACGTGAACGTACCGTCGCCGTGTTCGTATAGCTCGCAGTATGCTACCTGAAAGTCATATTAAAAAAATAAATAAAGTGTTAGTAGTGAAACTTCTCTGTAAATTAATTATTACTAAGGTTAAAGCCCCAATTGATGATCATGTACCAGTATATGATCACTCCATGTATTTGTATATCTAAATTCACACTGTTTACACAGTGTATGTGCTAATGATGAAAAATCTGCGTTTACTGCACAAGACGTTATGCGGCAGAATTGCCATCTAATATTTAACTACTAAACGAATATATCAACCAATAGCGTGTATTTCTTTCTCGATCTCCCTTGCTCTCTATCTCAATCTTTCTCACTATAGCTCTCTCCCACGTCTCGCTCCATGGCACTGTGCGTGATGCGACGTTCGCTCTATCTCACTCTCTCTCTCGATCTTTCGCACTTGCTACATGCTACGTTCGCCCTTTCTCACTCTCTCTCAATCGGTATCTCCCTTTTATCGGCAAAAACGCTGCACATCTTCGTGACGCTAATATTATTATTGCGTTTCATCCGTAAAAAAAAATTCCAAATTCCCTCATGCGCCTACAGAAGTTTCACTTCAATATAACCTAGCCGTTTTGCGGAAAAATAAATAAATAATTAATTAATTTAATATATTCACCTTATTAGGGCCAGAACAATGCGCAGTGAGCTCGCCAGGGCCGGCTCGACGCGTGTCTATCCAGGATCGAATATCTCTACCAACAACTCCTCCTGTCAATCCTGCCCCGGAACAGACCACTTTGGAGGCATCTCCGCTTTCGGAACCAGCGCTTACTTTTACAGTTAGGGGGCAACCTGGAAAGATATTAAAAGGTAGACTGAAAAAGGGCTAAAAATATGCAATAAACCAAAAAAAGGAGAAAAAAAAACATTTCATTCATGTAATTTTTCTCCTTTTTATTTTGGAAAAAATATTTGTAAAACAATTTAAAACATTAATAATCTGTGGAAAAAAATAATAATTATAATTTGTATTAATTTTCGGCACTTAATATTTTAATGACAATTAAATTCCTAACATACCTTGCTTTTTCCCACCCTCTAAGTCTCGGAAATCTTAAGTTTTAGATTTGTATAAATATGAACAAGAGTTAAAAATTAGTTTGCCAAAGAAGTTTCACTTCTGACATGTTACTTTGTACGCACGCACTTTTTTTTAAATTCGGATCCTCTTAAAATTAATCATTGCATTAAGGATTGCCTAAGACCCTAAACCCTATGGAACCTAAAACTTTTATAATATACAAGCGGGCGTATGGACTTTTCAAAAAAATCACAAATAAATAAATATACAAGAGTAATGAAGCAATCGAATGGTGAAACAACTTTCGAAATCTACCCTCTCGCAGTCGCTGCAAACATAAAAATCTTTCAAAATTTTAGCAAACAATAAACTTGTACCTTTAACAAGTCGTCCAGCCCATAGAACCCTCAAATGGTGATCTCCAGCTCTTCTAGGTGTGTACGTGGCCCTCCACAGACCTGGCCCTGCAGCTGTCAACGAGACGGGAACCGATTCCCCGTCTGGAGAGTTTAGTGACGCTTCTGGAGAGCCAAGACCCGCTGCACTCCCATCTATGTTACCATATTTCAAGTGTTTTTAGATGATTTTTTTGGAATGTATATGTTAACGTAAAATTGTAAAAACCGTTAGATTGTAATCTATCTCGCGAGATTATAAACTGTCGAAAGATTGTGAACCTCAGCGTACTGCTCACAATTTAACGTATTATTATTCGGTAGATTGTAATCTATCGAAGTGAAACCGTCAAATTGTGAAACGACCATTTTCTACTTTTCTATTGGTTATAAGAGATGTGACATTCTCGTTTTCTATTGGTTATAAGTGATGTGACATTCTCGGTAAACTAATCGAATCGATTATTTCCTCATTTGTTAATTTTAAAGTTAAACCTACTTTAACCATTACTTGTCAAATGTATTTATTTATTTATTTAGTTATAAAGCTTACGACATCACACACAGTCCTAAATCTACTAATAATTTTACAAAATCTTACTTCTAAAATGTGTGACAGTTAATGTAAGCATAATTTTCTCAAAAAAAAATTTAAATAGAAATTAAAAAAATACAATTTAAACATAAACGATAATACAAGCACACAAATAAAATAAAATTACAGAAATTTGTTGGCACTTAGAGCAGAAAAAAAGAAAAATCATCAGCAAACCAGCGAAATTAGGTTACCACACAATGCTTTCTCTAAAACCGATCAGACCACTACCGAATATATTCAGCTCCGGATAAGCTGTGTTCAATTTGTTAAAATCACGAAGAATTCGAACGAGAGGTGCCTGAACTCCTAGGTTGGTTTTCAAAAATAATCTATTTTTTAAAAGTGAAAATCGATTTTTGTATTCGATTTCGGTTGAACAGTTATTTAAAAAAATATTAATATACTAACCTAACCTAACCGAATAATAATACATTTTTTGGACAGCTCCGGCGCTACGGGAAATGCACCCCCTCCACCGTTGCTGCTCTTCCTCCGCGCCTCCGATTTTTTATATACACTCTAGGGGTAGGCCAGACAAGACCACGTGGATAGTGGGGTGCTCTGATTCGGTTTTGGGTACTTTTTGAATAATTTCAAAATTTTCGGAATCCTACACTAATTGAAACATGAAGTTAATGTAATGTATGTACATTTGACAAGTAATGGTTAAATTAGGTTTAACTTTAAAATTAACAAATGAGGAAATATTCGATTCGATTAGGTTCAACTTTAAAATTAACAAATGACGAAATAATCGATTCGATTAATTTACCGAGAATGTCACATCACTTATAACCAATAGAAAAGTAGAAAATAGCCGTTTCACAATTTGACGGTTTCACTTCGATAGATTACAAATCTACCGAATAATAATACGTTAAATTGTAAGCAGTTCGTTGAGGTTCACAATATTTCGACAGTTTACAATCTCGCGAGATAGATTACAATCTAACGGTGTTTACAATTTAACGCTGACATATACATGCCATTTGTTTTGGCATTTATAATACCGATAAACGCCTCTGATATTTTTATCTGAACGTTTTTTGTATGTGTATATATGTCGCAGCCATCTAGCTTAATTAGCCGTTCAATTAACAGCCTAGCCGTTTAACTAGCGGCCTGAAAGATGTTCAGTCAGTTGATTTAACAGCTAAAAACCATGGGGTTTTAGTGGGTATGCACAACAGCGAGTCCCACATAACCCTTCCCCACTAGGTCAACCGTGCCGCGGGGAATGCGTAACGCATTTCCCCACGAAAAAAAAAAGTTGATTAAACAGCTAGGCAAATGACTTGGATCGATGACGTTTCATTACTTGCCTAGGCTGTTGACTATTAATTTAAATTTAATTTCACTTTCTGCCACTCTCAAACTCGAAACGAAACTGTTCAAACTGTCAATATGGCGTTGGAAAATCACAACTTTGATGGTGTTTTCAAAGTTTTCATGAAAAACAACAAGTACAATGGAAGAGTATAGTGACAATGATAAAATAAATATTTTTGAAGTTTCGTTCTATTCAATAAATGATTATTTGCGTGAGACACTGTAATTGACATAAATTTAATAAAGTATGATATGTACGATACAGATAATATAAGAATTGACTTTGACTAATAATGTAAAATTCCTTAAGATATATTAGCGCGCCATTATAATTTTTGGACCATATTCTTGCATTAAAAAATTATTATTATAGGTAATAACTTTATTTCTTCACTTACTGAGAAACAATATTTAAAACTAAGATTAAAAATTAGAAATTAGAACGCACAGATGTAGGTACATAATATGAATAACAAAACAAAACAGCAACGAAAATGTGGGTAGACATAATAAACTTGATCAGTTAACCAAGCAAAACGGGGGCCTCATAGCCTAGCGGTCTTATTAAGTGGCAGCTAGTTGAGGGGTACCGGGTTCGATTCCCGGTTCAAGGGCAAGTTTTAATTTAATTTAAATTTGTTCTCGGCCTTTGGGACCGGGCGAGTGCCTAAACCGTACTTGGAGGACATGGTCCAATTTCTAAAGACAAACACGAATTATAAAAAATCCTATACTTGACACTGGCTAATGCACAAACCGTGCCAGAGCCATACAAAAAAACTCACCAATAGTAAAAACGGCGGGCGTATGAGGTGCCGCATGGGCCAATCCCCGTCCTGCCAATGTGACCCTATCCGCCGTGTTCCCAGAAGCAACTAACGCTCTCCTCGGTGCTCCGGAAACTAACGCCCCGTTATACGTTAGCTCCAACTCTTGTTCTCCACTGACACCCTCAGGTGCTGTTAGTGTTACAACAGCACGGCCGGATACTGTTTCAACGCCTGTAGAAAATTGTTAATTGTGTATCTTGTTAAGTTTTACATTTGTAGCAAATAATAGTATCGTAATTGCACGCTGAAAAATAATTACGTAACGTAACGTAAAAGATTAATCTAATAATGGGCTATTTAAATTTCTGATTATTTATTACGAAGTACAGAATTGACACAAATTGTACTTGTATTTCTGTAAATGGTTTTAAATTAAATTAATCATTCATAATTTTAAGAATATACCTTCTATGGCCCTTTGAGTGCCATACATATTTACCAATATACACTACATGTCATAAAGTCAAAAAGGCAATATATATGAAATGCTTCTAATTTTACATTTACTGCCAGTTCTCAGGGCGTAGAACAGAAGAGAAGAATTGGCAATAAACTATCCGCCACTCTTTTTAATCGCCAAGTTTTTTATTTTACACAACGTTTGTAAGGAGCTGCAACCATTACACCATGTTACACATGACATCTTAAATAATAATATAATAAATTAAAAACAAAGATTTGTCCTCTATCAGCAGGAGGCATGGGGAAATAGGAGCACGCGCTTACATATTCGTGGGAACAACACGCAAATACATAGTAAAAATAACTATCATCACCGCATACACGAATTCAAGTACGACCAGTCACCACAAGTAGAATCCGTTCAAAAGTAATTAAGAAAAAGAAAAAATACACACGAACATAGTGTCAAAATATGATAGAACTCTACGACTGTTAATGAACATTATCTTAGCCATTCAATAGTATTATATATTAAGTCAACATAATATTACTTATTAGCTATAATTATTGTATAGGCTAGATTGTAATTCGTGTAAAGGTGCACACTTTTGTGAACTTTATTAAAAATAAATTGTGCGTGTACTAGGTGTACACACGTAAGAAGTGAAACTTCTTTATGATCTTATTTTTCGAAAAATGATCTACTATATGCAACTTTACAGAAATTCGTTAAATTAGATAAAGTTTAACAAAAAGGCTTTTATTATCATAGACATGAATACAAATATTTCATTTTACCTTATTACTACGAAGATTATTATAGAATTTCATTAATTGTAATAGAATTATTACTATCATTGAAAAACGTGACGATTTGCTACAAAATTTCTCCCATACGTCGATAAAGAAGTTTCATTCCAACGCCGATAAAGAAGTTTGACTTCAAAAAGCAACATGGCGCGTAACCGAAAAATGTGACGCGTAACGAAAAAATGTTACACTAAATTTTTTTCCAACCTCGATAAAGAAGTTTCACTTCAAAAAAAAAATTGTATACACTTAGTGCTGTCTAGTTTCTCAACAAGCTAAAATGTCTTGCCAAAATCCAGTCGCAAATACTGTGACATATAAGTCAAACTCAAAATAACTTTATTCATATAGGTAAAGTAAACTTATGAATGTCAGAAAATAAGTTAAATTAATTCCAAATTTACATTTACTAATAGTTCGCAAGTCAAGAGCGTAGAGCGGGAAAGAAGAACTGGCAAGAAACTCTTTTTAATCGCTAAGTTTTGAGTCATACAAATTGTTATAGATTATCGAGAACTTAATAGGTATTTTTTGTGTTAAGGAGGTACTTTGTCTATATTAGTTTTATTATATATAAAATTCGTAATTATTAATAAAATAATGATTTATAATAATAACTTACGTTGATGTCTCCCAGCCAATAAACACTCGAGGGTTCCAGGTCCCGCGTTGCTTGTGTCCAAAACCAGTTTCGAGGGAGCTCGAACTCTTCCCGAGTTGTCTGTGCCCCACCCACCCACAGCTACTATCGCCGATGTGTCTATGACCTATGAAAACATTAATGATTTTTTTAATAGAAATAAAAATAATAAACCACATGTTTATTCTTCGGCAAAGGTTTAATAATTTGTTATGCGATTTCCTAAAATAATTATATATTTTACCTAAATAATTGTGGAAGATTACAAAGAAGTTGGTGGTAGACAGGGCTGGTGGCCCCAGAGCTGGTGATTTCTTCACTCAACGAATGAGTATTATCAGAGGAAATGCTGCCAGTATTAATGACTATCTTATACAAGTATTTTTTTTATGGCAAGGCATTTATATTTATTTTTATATGATTTTATATATTACTAGCTGCCCCCTCGAACTTCGTTTCTCCTTAATGTGATTTAACTTAGCCTACCTTTTTAGTACATACCAACATGGAAAATTTTGCTATGCTACACCAGACTGTTCGGTTTTCCGGAATGAAAACTTTTTGGGGTTTTCTGTGATTTTTCTCTATATAAACCCCAGAGTTCAAGTCATAAGATTTTAATTAACAACTAAAAAATAGGGGTCGTAGAGGGCTGAAAATTAAGGGTTGTAGGTATTTTTGTAGCATATCAAAAAATAAAAACGAAAAATTGTATATAAAAAATTTTTTTTATTGGAATGGACAACCTTTACACTTAGGGGTTTGAAAGATAGATAGTAGTCGATTCTCAGACTTACTGAATATTTTTATATATATAATTCTTCTGTGAGTGTGTATGTCACTGAACTTCTCTCAAACGACTGGACCGATTTTGATGAAATTTTTTGTATGTGTTCAAGGGGATCTGGGAATGGTTTAGATTCACAAATCAGCCCGGCAGATGGCACTGCAGTCGGTACTTTCATACTTTGCTTAATATCCTAATCGCTTTAAATATCATGCAGGACAACGTCTGTGGGGTCCACCATTGCATAAATAAATCATAACAATCGGTCAAGCCGTTTCGGAGGAGTATGGGAACGAACATTGTGAAACGAGAAATTTTATATATTAGATTTTGTAAAATTAATGAATTAATTCCCCACGATCGTAGAACAATGTCGTATTTGAAAAAAAAAAAACAAAATCCACTATTTATCATATTTGGATACTACATTGACTAAATACCACGGCTACATTAAAAAATAATTCCATGTGTTTTAAATTTCAAATTAATCAGTCGGTAAAGTGACGGATTTAATAGAAACATGTGATTTTTCTAGAAAACTGTTAAATTTAATGTTATTATTTTTATTTTGTTTCAAAACAAACCTTTTTTAGTGGTTGTATGCCAATTTTCATAATAACAGAATATGAATTAAAATAGTTATGACAAAAACTAACATGATTATATTATTTTGAAATGGCTGCCCTGTAAAGTTTACTATTTGTCAGATCCTACACTATTCTACGACTAAGACGAATTGAAGAAATACCTTGACTGAAAAGGGGCTTCCAGGCAAAGGTCCAGATGGCAGGAATATTCTAACTTCATACTGTCCCACCACCAGTGGTATGTACGCGCACAACCACTCCCGAGGAGCACCCGCCGTCACTCTGCATTCTAGCAACCCGGAGTCCGTCTCATCTTCCTTACCTTCTAGTCTTTCCACCTGAAATATAAAAAAGGGTGCGTGTTCATTTACGCGCGTAAGAAGTTACACTTCTATGGCATTATTAAAAATAGTTTTTGATTGCATGCAAATAATTAATTACAATTAAATAATCAAAGACTGGAAAAGGAGTCATTATAGTCAATAAAGTTCAGTTTACATTTGAAAAATTAAATAAATAAATATTTATTATTATTCTCTTACATTAAGTGTAAAATAAATTCTATTATTCGAATGTTGTTTTTAAATTATGTCCAATGCCGAAGCATCTTCCGTGGGCAACTTCATTCTGTTAATTTTGTGTCACGGTGCGCGCGCATCGTAAAATTTCACTCTCATCAATTTTTCATAACGCGCCTAAAGAAGTATAACTTCAAAAACACTTGCTTAATGAGAAACCTATGTTTTATCCCTATCTTTAAGGAGCAGTTGATGTATTAAGGTCCATATTCCTTCGAAACTTTCTCCTGTTGAGCAAACTTTATCTTTGTCGATTTAAAAAAAAAACACATATATACCAATTAAGTAGCTAGATAATAAAGATATAAAAATGAAGTACAGTAATCCCCCCATAACGTTTTCGTATAACGCGATTTCCGTCCCCCATAAGTTTTGCGTACCTTTGCGCCTGTTTCAATCGTGTTGTTTTAAAATTATGCTAAATAGCTTTATAAATTTTGTGTTCTTAGCTTGTGAAATGTTAAAAAAATAACGGTTTTACGAAAATACTCCTACAACGCGATTTCCTACAACGCGGTCCGGGATTACTGCTTTATTAATTTAAAGGAGAATTACTGCTCATATATTGTTACTAGCCGTTTCCCGAATTAAAATAGGAAATAAATAAAATTTTATGTTTCATTATTATTATTTTTTTCATATTTTTATTATTCTTCTTTTTAACTTCCCGCTAAGAAAATTGAAAATTTTCGAAAATCGAGTTATTAACAGATGTTGACGTTTTGAGGTTCTAGGAAGCCTCCCCGAATGGTTCCGCGGTGAAGTCCGTATTTATAAATTTTTATAAAAGTAAAACAGCAATAAAAAAATGAAGGAACGTTGGAATTTAATAAATAAATAGCCATAAACCATCTAGGAAAAATTTCGCATCGAATGGCAGTAGTTTCATGTCGATACGATCAGTGGTTTAGGCGTGAAGGAGCCTCAAACGAAGACCATTTTTCTTATATATATATATACATTTTCCACCTCACCAAAGAGGGTGTGAGGGAAGAATTTTACTTTGAAGTAGTAACAAATTATCACATAAAATCAAATGAATTAAAAAAATACCTGAACAGTGGGTGGCGTATCATCTACACAGTGTATGGTAAAGGCTGCTTCTTTGCCAACGTGCGCGTGCGCAAGTCCCGTTCCAGAACATTTGGCTGCTATACTTGCGCGGGAGCTTAGCACTCCAAGGGACATCGGGCTTCCGGGGACACTTGCACCTATTTTTTTAATACAAAATATGTATAGAGATGCCTTTGTATATATTATTTAGATACCTCGATATTTTCTTTATATATATATCTAATATATAAAATTCTTGTGTCACAATGTTCGTTCCCATACTCCTCCGAAACGGCTCGACCGATTGTTATGAATTTTTTATGCATATTCAGAGAGTGAGTCTGAGAATGAGCTACTATCTTTCAAACCCTTAAGTGATAAGGGGTGTCCACCACAACCTTTTTGTTTTAATTTTTTTATGATACAGCATACAAAAATACATACAACCCCTAATTGCCAACCCTCTACGATCAACCCCTATTTTTTATTATAGTAGATAGTTATTTTTATTAAACTAAAAAAATGTTCCTACAAATAATATACAAAGGAAAACGGGTCAGCTAGTATATATATATCTTCTGAGTGTGTTTGTAATTAATCTCTTCCTAAACGACAAGATTGATTTTGATGAAATTACGAATAGTACTTCAATATAAAAACAACAAAACCTAAAAAAAAAAATATATAATATATATAATATCACTACCTAAAGTTTTAACGAATCGTTGTTATAACGGATAGTACATAATATTGAAACAAAAATACCTCCATAAGTAACATATATCCTGTAATGAGCGGGCATCGTCGGCCTCAGTCGCACTTTGTATAGAGTCCCATCTTCCCTTATGTCAACGGGCAGGCGCACGCGTCTCTTCCCCATTGCTTCACAGAGCACGTCTAATTCACCCACACCCGCGTCTTTTGTGTCCACTGTAAATATTATTAATTTTATTAATATCTAGAAATATTTCCTTATTATCTAAAAACAGTTCGCACCGGCGCGGGCGTCGATCAGAGAGCCACTGTACGCAATGATCGATTCTACGCACTACTGACAAATTGACTTTGACATATATATATATATTATATAACATAATCTCTGGCATATTTATTTTAAAAAATTAGAGTTTTAGTCAAAACTACTGATTATGATAAATCTGGAACTGAAAAAGTTTTTTGCCAGTTCTTCATACCCGCTCTACGCCCTTGACTTGCGAACTGGTAATAAATGTAAATTTACAATTAATGTAACTTCTTTCGGACAATTCATAAGTGTACTTGTTTACATGAATAAAGATATTTTGAGTTTGAGTTTGAGTTAAAACTTACGAAAATGACGGTACCACGGTATAATAGAAAAACGCACGCAAAAAAAAAGATTAAACAACAACTCACCAGTAAAATTAATAGGTGTGTGGGCGATCAAATTTCCAGTTGGCAATCCAGATAATATGACTTTGTTAGGGTCGAAGGATTCACATGTGTACGGGCTGCCCGTGATCGGCTTCGATAGATGCAGTACCTCTAAAAAGATGGAAAAAGACTTATAGAGCTGAACGGAGAACTTTCTAGATACACTCGCTCGTACGGACGGAAAATAACGTCAGGCACAGGCTGATCACCTAATTGCCTATTAGAAGAAACAAGATGTTTTGTACGAGGGAATATAAAGCCGAAAATCCCATTGGTGAATGGCCATGATTCGAACGTATTCACTTTCATATAAAAAAATGTATGCGTGTACTAGTGTACACACGTAAGAAGTGAAACTTCTTTATGACCTTATTTACGAAAAATTATCTACTATATGCAACTTTACTGAAATTGGTTAAATAAAGTTAACTTAGATAAAGTTTAAAAAAAGGCTTTTATTATCATATACATAGATAGAATACAAATAATACAATTATATCATTTTACCTTATTACTACTAAGATTATTACAGAATTTCATTAATTGTAATATGATGATTACTATCATTGTTATCGTTATTATATATTTTTGTTATTAATATAAATTGTATGAACGCACTACACGGTTTTTGACATAAATAATAATGATTTCAAAGCATAATTTCTATTTATAACTAAACATAATCATGCAATATTAATTTTAAAAAAATCGGTTGTCTGTAAAGTCGGTTTACTGACGATAGTTGAACGTGACAACGTCGTAAGAAATTACTGATGGAAAAATTTTAATTTAATTTGAATATATCTATCAATATTTTGTATGGAGGTAAATAGAAATCACAATTGAATTGATCGATTACAATATAATTGATATATAAAGATGTTGAACGCTGCCAAACGCGGAGGCCGATTGTGCCTCTTTGTCGCTTGTTCCGCGCTCTCGCTTGCACTTCAAGCCTTAAATGGAACGCCTCAGAGCGAGGTAACGCCGCATGCGTCATGTTTTTTTCGTGCGTGCAGCCGGCTCCATCGAATTATAAGACGTTGTCACGTCAAAAAATTATTCAATATACATAACGGTATGTTGCGGTAAGCCTGAAGTTAGTTTTCAGAGGTAGGCAAACTTCACAAACAACAAATCTTGCAACTAATCAATAAGATCCGAAATCGCAGGACAAGAAAAAGATGGCGCGTACGCGTCCGTAATTTTTTTCCAACGTCGATAAAGATGTTTCACTTCAAAAATAATATGATAGAAACCTTGTCCTAACAAACTGAAAATCAGAAATATCTAAATTGGTGCAAAAGTAGGGTTACACACATTTTTTTGCAAGCAAACGGAACAGTCACACTGCCAGAGTGCGCGAGTACGTAGCCGGACTTTTAGCTACACTGTTCTCAAAGGATCCAGCTGGCGAATCATATATTACCTATAGTACTCTGCCCGACTTCGGTTATAGTGAACTCGGCCTGAAGCAATCCAGATTTGGTTTGATAACAGCGAACGGGCAGAGCTCTGGTCCCGGGCCCCGATACCACGACGTCGAACTCGCGAGCCGCGCGACCCAAAGTGTCGATGCTGAAGGAAGAGACGCGACTCACTTGACCTTGGTACAAGCCGAGACCAGAGGCTGATACCTGGAAGCAGATTTTAATTATCAGTCTAAGGGTGGTTGAGATGGGAGATATGTATGAAATTTATTGAAATTATGGGAAATTGATGGCAATAATGGAAATTATGGGAATTCGATGGAAAATATGGGAAATAGATAGAAAATATAGGAAATAGATGGAGATTATGGGAAATAGATAAAAAATATGGGAAATACATGGAGATTTTGGAAATAGATGGCAATCATGGAAATTATGGGAAATAGATGGAAATTATGGGAAATAGATGGCAATCATGGAAAATGGATGGGAATGGAAATTATGGGAAATTGCTGAAATAATTATATAAAAAATGGAATTTAAAATGACAAATTATTATTTCTAAGGTGCCAATTAACGACACGAATAACATAATAAAAAAATGGGAATTGGACCTGTATGTATGTGATAATTAACTATCTATTTAGGTTTTCTAAGGGAATATGACAAATTTCGTATATGTTCATTCCAAAATTTATTGTAAACGAAAACATATCAAAACTTTACTGACAGCGTACATCGACATCTTTTTATCGATACTTGCACGTAAACTGGCCTTGCACGTTTCGTCACGTATATGTGCGTGCACGTAACCTGGAAGTACTGGGTGCGCCAGTGCGCTTTGTGACTTATTAGATGGCCATATAACTTTTAATATATTATTTCGTAATCGTTTAACATTGAAATGGTCTTCATTAAATACTCGTACTAATAAATATTGACAGTAACATATATTATTATTATTTTCTTCACATAAATATATCTTGTTAAGCAACTGACGTAAGTTATGACATGTTTCTATAGTGAATGAACATTGAATTTAGTAATTAATAAATCCATTTATTACCTCTTGTCCATGATGACCAGGCATCACATCCACCATCAAAGCCTCCCTCGCAATTGGTATCCCACTCCACAATAAGGTGATTCTATGAGGAGCCGCCCTGGCCGGATGCCACACCAGCTCCGTCCTGGAGCCGCCCCTCCTCCGCACCGAATGTGGGACTGTTCGCCCACAGCTGGTCACGCGAGCTGAAAGACGCCCGCTCCCAGCACTGCTTGTGCTTACTGAAAAAGTACATTAATGTAACGTAAAAAATGTAAAGTAACATGTAGAAAACGTTGTGTTATCTGTATTTATTTTTATTTATTTGTCGATACCAACTCCGGGGAAATAAATACAGAAAACGCAACTTTCTCTTTTAAATTTATCCGACGTTTCGCGTGCTCTACAGCGTGCGTGGTCACGGCGACTGAAGACAAAAGGCGTTGAATGTCAAAAAGTATCACAGCTGTAAATTATGTAAAATAATTTATTACATAACTTCAATGCGGTAAAAAAGTGTTTTCTTTAAATTAAAGATTACTTGAACTTTTTGAAGTGAAACTTCTTATGAGGGTATATTTTTTACGGAACGAAGATGTGCAGCGTTTTTGTTGAACAAAAGGGAGATTGAGAGAGTGAGAAGGGCGAATTGCCTTATAGAAATTATATTTTTAAAAGTAAAGAGAATTTCTGAAATGTAGTATTTTATATTTTATGCAAAATAATTTTTGGAAATCTCAAATGACGAATTGTAAATTAAAATGCCACGTGTTTTTATTATCGAAGAAATAAAATTTATTATTTGTATTAATTCTCGACAATTTTAATATTTTAATGACAATTAAATTCATTAAATTCCTAACATCTTCCCTTTTCCCTCCCTCTAAGTCTCGGAAATCTAGTTTTAGATTTGTATAAATATGAACAAGACTTAAAATTAGTTTGCCAAAGAAGTTTCACTTCTGACCTATGTACTTTGTACGCGCACACTGTTGTCACAGGGGACAAACGGGCAGGAGGCTGACCTGATGTTATGTGATACCGCCTCCCATGGACACTCTCAATGCTAGAGGTCTCGCGAGTGCGTTGCCGGCCTTTTACTTACTTACCAACTTACCAGTAATAATAGCTGGACGATGCGCTAGAGCCTCTCCGATAGACAGAACCTTAACTGCTGAAGGATCCAGGGCCTCCACCTCAGCGACGGACCCTCGAGGGCTGCGTATGATATATCTCCCGATTCGGGACACGGGGAATGTGACGATTCCCTCATCTTCGAAAACGTCTGCGACCCTGGTACCAGTCGGAGATAGAACTTCGACATCTGTCAGGTTTTCGTCTATTTCTATTGTAGCTGTGGTTCCTATAAACATAATTTTATATAAAACAGCGCGGCGACCGAATCAAGAAATTCCGTAACGAAATAAACCTAACACACGATGACGTAATATAGGTGCGGCCAATACGCGTTAGAGCGGGACAGAACGCATACTGCGTCTCACATCGGTTTAGCGTGATCGGATAGGCGTGTTAGTCTGAGTAGAGTGGTAGATTGAATTAATATCAAAGAAAAAACTTGAATTAATATTATAGAAAAAATAAATAAATAATTATATTGCATAAGTTTAATAGCTTTACCGCGGCAGTCCCCGAGTGCCACACGTATTTTTTTTATATTATTTAACTTTAAAGCCATATTTTTATATAGATCAGAGGGCAACGGGCAGGATATTAAACTCTCAATGCAAGAGGGCTCGCGAGTGCGTTGCCGGCCTTTAAGAATTTAACTAAATGTGCCTTAACTCATCCCGATTTTGACATATTATGGAGGAAGAATGGCCCCTAGTAACAAATTACCAGAAGTTGTATCCTTAGTCGTAATGACATCGTAAGCGCGTTTCAGGGTATGACGTCACCGCAGTGATGTGTAAGCCTCAAAACGTCTTTCAAAATGGCGAGTTATGGAGTAAAATTACTTGACTTAAAATTCTTTAATTTAAAAAAAAAGATAATTAAAAAGATGAATTTAAATGTCAGTCACATGATACAAAACGGTCACAGATAAGTCGAATCGACGATCACGTATGTAAATATTTGTGAATTAGAAATGACGTATTAGACTTGAGATTTAAGAATACGTATACGTACGAGCCCGTGCCTTGTACGTATACGACGTAAGGACTGGTGCGACGCCATCTTGGCTAGATAAGACGGGTACAGATACCGGCAAACATGTTAAACATTTAACAAGGGAGTGGGACATAAACGTCAAATGATTTACCAATCACGCGATCGACACTATACCCCCCCCAGTGATACCTAAAAATCGCTTCTGCGCAGGCAAGGACATTTGTTCAAGATGTTTGTCGGTATCTGTACTTTAGAATATTTTCGGGAAATTATGAATATTTCATTTGAATTTTAAACTGGTTTTTAAAATCTTGACAAAGGGTGTCATACCTATCTGCACATATGTGTGTGGCTCGTTGACCCTGCATATGAAAGGGCTTCCTGGCACAGCTTGTTCGTTGAAGGTCACGGAGACTCTATGCGGTTCACGTGACACGGGCACGAAGGTCACATCGTATAGGCCACGAGCTACAGCTACCACCTATAAAAATATAGATATTTTTCATATTTAAACAATAATTTTGAAGATTAAAAACAATTAATAAACTAAAACAGAATTAAAAGCACTGATTATTAATTTTATTTTAACATTAAAATAATAGCAAAACTTAATAGATTAATAGAAGTAATAACTAAAATTTAGTATTAAGTAAGAACATGATACATTTATAAATAAATATGTCGTATGTTTTGAGTTCCAAAACTTATTATATATTAAATCGGAATAAATTTTTTTTTGCGAAATTCCATATGTTCTCACATGATGCGACGATGATATGAAATAGACATTCATGAATTTCACAGATTTTTTCCTATAAAAAAGCAATCAAATCAAGCAAATAAAATTCAATAGGGATCATTAAGAGAAATGCACAAAATATATTTTAGAATGATATCAAAGAGAAGCCAAAAGAAAGAAGACAGGCAGATGCTCTGCCGAAGAGATGGAGCAGGCTAGTGCAGGATAGAGAATGGGCTAAAACAGGCAAAAAATAACTTTTTTTTAATAATAGTTTTTCTTTACTTTCTTTGTGAACAACGGTCAGAGAATGAAGGCTTTAACTATTATTATGAAATTTGTCAAGCATCACGTACCTCTGCCTTAACAGTGGTGGAAGGCGTAGACACCACCAGTTCAAGGGTCCCTTCACCAGCCCCCGCAGCATCCACACTGAAGGTAACAGGTTTGCCAACTTCAACGCCGCGTTCTTCCTCCCCACTCTCATCCAGATTCAGGCCTTCCAGAGTTCCTTCTAGTTCTGAAACATTTGATCATCGATATAAAACAAAACCGGCTTTGTTCGAACACTTATATTCAAGAACGGCTGGACCGATTTTCATGGTTTTTGAAATGGAAAATTGACTTTTCGTATCTGTCGATTCATAACCTAGTAATTAATAATAAACAACTACAAATTTAAAATAAAATCTATGTTCATGTGTTTGACAATGTCACGTGTTGAACAGAAGGGAAGTTTTGAATCGTTTGAATTATTTAAACACTTCCAAATTGCGCAACAAAAGAAAAGCAAGGTTGTTATGAAATAAATAAAATTCGGCCAGTAGTGATATTGGATATTGTAACTTCAAAAAGATATTTTTTTTTTAAGTGAAAACTTCTTTAGCGGCGTTGTACACTTTTTTTGGAATGGGTAAAAAATTTAAACTCGCGTCAAGACAAATTCGTAAGACGGATGTTTTTTAAAGGATTATGAACCTTCTTGCTATATAGTTACGGTTTTAATTTTGCGAAACGTCTAAAGCTTTATTATTAACGATTTTGTCAGACTGACACGAATAAAAAAGGGCAACTTAAAAAATAGTGAATTTTCCTAATTGAATTATTTAATACTAATTTTAATTATTTGTGTAGGTTTCGTAAGACGGATGAAGAGTAGACAGCTGGCGCGGCATATTTAATGTAATATAAATTGTCATGTTTGTGTACGATAGCGCAATAAATAAATATTGTATTCTACCACATAAATGATAGTACTTTTATACTGATAATTCAAGCAATTCGTGCAAAATTATTCCCTAACCATTCCAAAATATCAAAAATTCACAACGTTAATATTCAAGTTTTCACTTCTGCCGGCACTCCCGGAGTGCAACTCGTAGTTTTTTTTAAATCAACTTTGAATACTAAACAATTCCTCACCTCCAGGTCCCAATCCAGTGACACGTACCCGTCGCACATCGTATACATTACAGACGAACGGTGATCCAGGTACATGCCTTCCCCCACATTGTACGTGCACGCTATGACGTCCGACCACCTCGGGCGTATACGTGCACGTGTAACGACCTTCTCCCATGGAATTTACGTGCGTACGTACGTTCGCTCCCCCCCGGACCGGTTAGAGATACTGTTGGCTCGCATGCTGGGGAAGAACAATAATTTTGTATATCTCAGCGAGTACTGGTTTGAATTAAAAAGTTATATACATATTTATTAAAATACATATTACATACATATTTATTAGAATAATTTCCGGGCAATATATGTTTCTCATTTAATTTTACTTTTTATTAAATTAGATATTTTTTTAAAACTGATCGATTTTATTTATTTTTGTTTCATAAAAATCTTATGAAAATATAATATATATATCGTTTATTATGCGTCATATTTTTAATTTTTTCCTATTAAGAAGTCTTATATTATATATATAAAATTCTCGTGTCACAATGATCGTTCCCATACTCTTCCGAAACGGCTCGACCGATTCCATGAATATTTTTATGCATATTCAGTAAGTCTGAGAATCGGCTACATTCTATCTTTCAAACCCTTAAGTGATAAGGGGTGTCCACCAATTTTTTTTATATTTTATTTTATTAAAATTCAGCATACAAAAATACATACAACTCCTTATTTTCACCCCTCTACGATCAACCCCTATTTTTATTATTGTAGATAGTTATTTTTATTGAACTAAAAAAGTGAGACAAAAAAGGCAAGACAAACGTTTGCCGGGTCAGCTAGTATTATGTATATAACTATAGCGGCGTATTGTGTAACAAAAAAATACACTGTCTCCACCAGACACTACCCATTTCCTATATAACTTTTACACTTGTCACCTTAAAAGACACTAACATTGCAAATCAAGTTCCCCCTTCTCAATCTGGTATAATACTTTGAAGATACCTTGCGGTATCAAGCGTTTCACATTAGCACAGAACATATTTAATGACTCCACAATCTATCGAAGCATATTTACAAACATTTTGTTTATGCATCATTATTGTTTTGTAAACACATTATTAACTAGTGGAAATCATTTAGTTTTAACTCGACTCGATTTACTTTTAGTTTTAACAGTGAGTGCTAGGTGAGGGGTACCGGGTTCGATTCCCTTCGAGGGCAAGTTTTAATTTAATTTAAATTTGTTCTCGGCCTTTGGGAGGGTTGTGCGGTACGGGGCGAGTGCCTAAACCGTACATGGAGGACACGGTCGAATTTCTAAAGACAAGCACGAATTATAAAAATCTTATATACTTGATGCTGGCTAATGCACAAACCGTGCCAGAGCCATAAAAAAAAACACCTAGTGGAAATCATTTATTGAAGTGAAACTTCTTTATCGGCGTTGGAAAAAAATTTACGTCACGTGACGTCGTCACATTTTTCCGTTACGCGCCATCTTTTTCTTGTCCTGCGATTTCGGATCTTATTGATTAGTTGCAAGATTTGTTGTTTGTGAAGTTTGCCTACCTCTGAAAACTAACTTCAGGCTTACCGCAACATACCGTTATTTATATTGGATAATTTTTTCACGTTATATTTATTAAATATTGCAGTATTTAATTTAGTTATAAATAGAAATTATGCTTTTAAATCATTATTATTTATGTCAAAAACCGTGTAGTGCGTTCATAAAATTTATATTAATAACAAAAATATATAATAACGATAACAATGATAGTAATCATTATATTACAATTAATGAAATTCTGTAATAATCTTAGTAGTAATAAGGTAAAATTAAATAATTGTATTATTTGTTTTCTATCTATGTCTATGATAATAAAAGCCTTTTTTTAAACTTTATCTAAGTTAACTTTATTTAACCAATTTCAGTAAAGTTGCATATAGTAGATAATTTTTCGTAAAATAAGGTCATAAAGAAGTTTCACTTCTTACGTGTGTACACTAGTACACGCATACATTTTTTCATTAGGTTATCCATATACAATCTGTTTCGTAAATATTAAATGTGTTCAAAATTTGAATTAAATCTGTTAAGCCGTTTGGTCATAATAATGTTTTTTCGTATTATACAACATATTGTATGTAGTAAAAATGCAATGCATGAATGCAAGACTTAAATTACACTGTTAATTTTTTTTTCTATTATTATTATATTATTTTTCTTTTTTTGCGTCTGAGGCGCAAACAAAACACACACACAACTTATTCCTTTAGTTAGTTATTTTTCTGTCTTTGATTATTATTGACTTACAGTGGAATCCAGTTAAATTAATTTCGGTGTTTTCCCCTCTAGCAGCCGAGGTGAGACCCGGGCCCGACGCACGCGCATCTGGTGCGTTCGCGGGCGCAGACACGATGCACGTAAACGGCGATCCGGGTACGGCGTGTCCGTTGAAACGAACTGATAACGTGTGGGGAGCCGCCTCCGTTGGTTTGAAATTCACCTGGAAATTTAGTTAAAGTATTTAATAATGTAATCAGTTATCTTTATTTATTTAGCATAAGGCTAACAAACTGAATTAAATTAAATTAGAGGGTTCTAATTAATAAATAAATAACCTTAACATATAATAACTAAAATATATTATTAAAAGGAGTCCCTTTAGGCAAGGTTCCAAAGCCAGTATGGCAGCGTTCCCCCTATGAATAGCTAGACTAATTCCTTGTCCGAGGTAGCTGCCAGATCTTCAGTCTCCTGTGATGTCGACTAACCTTTTTGATATTTCTTTAAAAAGCCTTAAAGCGCTAGGACCCCACGGACCAAGGGTCTCGACACCGAATGGGACAAAATCATATTCTGAGCCTAGACCACTGTATTTGCATGCTTTAGCTTTTTCAGCCGCTTCAGTTTGACATTTTGACATGCTTTTGGAATATCGGTCTTAGTTTAAAGCATTTTTCGGCGTTTAAACGATTTTTTATAGACTAGGTACTAGTGGATCCGACAGACGTTGTCCTGTATAGGTCGGTTATCGAAAGCTGGCGCGTTCACAGTACTCACACTAATGCAATTTCACTTACAGTATGTTTAAAAATATGACTTTTTTGCCAAGCTATATATTTTAGTCTACTCTGGTTTTAGTAAGGTTGGGTGGGTTGTAAATAAATAAAAATGTGTCAAATTCATATAAATATTATGTGCATACGAGGGTGGATCCAAAAGTTCCAAAAGCCCGACCAAGAACGTAAAAGAGTAGTTTGTGTAAATAATTTTTCATTTTTCGACATAAGCTCCATCTAGCTCAACACACTTCACTTTTACTTCACTAACTATTCTTTCAATACTCCTCTTATGGTAGGGGAGCCCACGATGCTAAATGGGGATTTACTCGAGCGTCGTAGAGACCTATTGGGATGCAAAGCTTAGATAATAAGAAGAAAAAAATGTTATATGATATATACCTTTTCATCGGTGGGGGAAGCGGCTATAGATTATTAAATATGTAAAAAAAACTGTTGCATGGACATCCTCGAGCGCGTCAGATATTGATAGCATCAATGCCCTACGTATTTTTAATAATGTACGTATGTTAATCTGATCGTTTGCATGATGCGGGTGGTTGTATTTAAGGGTTGAAAATGAAAAAAAAAAAAATTATCGAGCGCGTCAGATTTTCTAAGGGAGTATTAAGTGCACCAAAAAAAAAGCACTCATTCACTAATCTGACGATTTCGATGGGACGCAAACCCACGGCCATTTTCATAATTTGCAAAAAAAATCGCAATTTTGAAATACTCAAGCGCGTCAGATTAAGATATATGTGGTTCATCTTTATGTTCTAAACGTACTGTCTCATAATCTGACGATTATCTAGAGGGATTCGCCTGATCTGACAAAAAAAATTTAGAAAAACGGTTCACCTAAAGGGCCATCCCTGCAACTTCCCGCTAATTCCATTCCTGGGCGCTTAATATTGATATTTTGAGCTCACTGAGTTCAAAGAAATAATATTTCTATGCATTTGAGCTCTCCCAGCTCGAAAGTCTGATAGAAGTTTCATAGAACACTATTTTTGGAATTTTCAAACCGCAATAACTTTTGAATGGATCAAGCAATTTTCACGCGGTTGGCGGCATTCGACGCAGTTTTATCATCCTCATATGTAATTTTAATTGATCGAACCACAAATTTCGGAGTAATCCCGAAAAAACACTTTTTCGGGTTTCTTTCGTTCACGATATCTCTCGAACGAATCAACCGCTTTTGACCAGCTTGGTGGCGATCGACGTGGTTTTTCAAGCTCAAAGGCGGATTAGTTTTTGAAGTTGATCGATAAAGAAACCACTTTAAAAAAAATATTTCTTATTTTTTTAAGATTTTTCAAAATTTCTCAAAATCTATCGGTCCGAATCGGTTCAAATTCACAGGAAATGTAATTTTGAGGGAAATATTTAGAACGCCGTTTAGTAGATTCCGATCGGTTTAAGGAAATGTAGGCATCACGCAGCTGCACGCATTTAACTTTATCGACGAATTTTTGTTATTTCGGCTTGCGGAAATCGTCAGATTATATATTTTTCATTATTCTTGAATTATTTCCTTCAAAATAAAAAAAAATTAGCTACGCTCGAGAATGTCGAGATGACGTTTTTTTTTTACAACTTTGTTGCCCTCCCCTTTTTTTACGACACTTTCAAATTGTCAGATTAGTGGAATATACACTTTTTAGGATGTAATTAACTCACCCTACCTTAATCTGACGCGCTCGGGAATTTCTGATGGTCAATTTTTTTTTACTAATCTGATCCTGTCTCCTTCACGGGCGGCCTTATATATGGGCCTCATATTTTGTGGAGGTACTTAACCGGGTACAAGGTATCCCCCTATATATTAATCTGCCGCGCTTTAGTAAATCCCGAAATCCCCTCTTGGGCTCCCCTACCATTAGAAACCCTAGTCGCATCTGATGTCAAATTAAATATAAAATTTTTTCATCAAACTGTTTTTATTAAGATGCTTAAAATAATTAAAAATGTTTGAAAAAAGATCAACATAAACAGTAGCAAAAGAAAAACAATAACTGTCTCTTTTATACTCATAAGCTTGACCGAGCGCGAGAGAGACGGACAGTCTTTTCATGATGTATTTGTGATTGTATTTCAGTTTGACATCACGTCTCGCGCTTATTCACAGACACTACACAAGCACAAAGTGTCAATGTGTTGAAGCCGCCAGCTTTAGATAACATACCTATACACATGTGTTACATATAAAAAATATCTAATAAAATACATAAATCAGTAACGCTACAACCTCTTTAGGTCGTGACCTCAGATTTCTGAATCTGTTTCATAATCATTTTTAAATCTAATAGGCAAGTAGGTGATCAGGCTCCAGTGCCTGACACACGCCGTCGACTTTTTGGGTCTAAGACATGTCGGTTTCCTCACGATGTTTTCTGATTGTTATGTTATGTTCGCACGTCTAGATTTATGCGAGTTAAAAAATATCCTAATATTTCAGAAACAATCAATATTATATCTATACTAATATTATAAAGAGGAAAGATTTAATTTTTTGTTTGTTTCAAATGAATAGGCTAAGCCGAAACTACTGGACCGATTTCAAAAATTCTTTCACCGTTGGCAAGCTACACTATTCCCGAGTGACATAGACTATGTTTAATTTTCGAAAAAATTAGGGATGCTTACTAAAACTTTCAGGACACTTCACTATCTATAAAAAATGTCTCGACAGTATGTCTCTATCTTTTATAGTTACATCTCAATAAGCGTCCTTTTATAATTTTTTTTTATTAAAATACCACCGCTAGAAAAGGCTCTTTATTCGTACCTAGGTATTGATTCTTATCAAAATAATTACCAACGTTTCACATAAGCTACAATTTAATGGCATAACCACCAAAAAAGCATGGTGGTCCCCATGACTGGTGTTCTCCTAACGTTTCTCTTGAATAGTTTACTACTATGTAATATAACAAAAATCTTAGCCACAGCAACGCTTGGCCGAGTCTATTAGTAAATAAATAATAGTATATTTCATTACAAGTGCGGAAAGCCTGTCATTTATGGAAAATGGCGCCAACCGTAAAAGAATATAAGCAGATTTTTTTTTTCACCCATTCTGGGTAGGCAAAGGGAACTATGCCCATACAGCCAAGTCTTCAGTACAATTTTTTATTGATATGAAATGAAATTTAATGAGATGAAATGAAATCTAACCTAACTCATTGAATCAAATCATTAAATCTTATATTGAAACAAAGCAGTAGCTTCTTTTTAGAAATATTGGCATGAATCATAAAAATTTCTATGATTTTTTTTTAGTAAAAACTTCGTGGTTGGTTTTTTCTTTTTAATAGACATTATTTTGACAGTTGGGAAAGAAAACGCACTAGTTCGGAAAAGGTAAAAAAAAAGCACGAGTGTGTAATAGCCCACATCCCGAACGCTATACGTCCCTGCAATACGCCACTTTTTGAGCAGTGTATTAGAAAAATACAGTTGTATTAAATAAAATATTTTCCTACCTTAAATCTCGCGTTTCCTTCGCTTTGCACAAAGTTCGGCACATTCCTACCGGCCACAGCAACGATTATTTCCAAATTACCAGCACCTGTTGAAGAGAAAACATATTTTAAAGGAGCGTTCAAGTATTACGTCACGCAATTCTTGAAGATTAAGACCTGCAGTCTTTCTGCAATGGAGACCGTGGTGTCCAAGGCTGCTTAATTATCGTTTTACTCTATTTTTGAAGTTGTACTTCTTTAGGCGCGTTATGAAAAATTTATGAGAGTGAAATTTTACGATGCGCGCGCACCGTGACACAAAATTATCAGTATTAAGTTTTTAAACCAGCCGGGCGCCGAGCGTGCGCGAGCGAGATGGGAATAAGACAATCTACAAGTAAAAAGAAATAGAATATGCGTGAAGTTAGCAGCCATGCCAAGAATTTTGAATGACCTTTGTAGTACCTTTTAAACAAATAAAGGAGTTTCAATGATTTTTTCATAGAAATTTAGCAATGCTTTTTCACAAAGACCTATTGTTACTTAGTTAAAAGGTTATGAAACATACCAAGTTATTAAATTGAATGAATAATAAAATAATAATAATAATTGTTATTAATATTAATAAATAATTGAATAATATACTAAATATTAAATATTATTAAATTGTTAACGTTAAATATTAATTATTAATTATTTGATATTTAAAAAAAAATAAAGAAAGCCAAAGAAGTATAACTTCTTACGCGCGTACATAAGTACTTGCAACCTTTTTTTAATTTTTTAACGATACATATATAGATGATCAGCTTCTTACCGGCATGGGAGGCGTTGATGGTGAAGGATATCGGTCGACCGACGGTGCCCGGCGATATGTCCGTGACGGAGACTCGGGCTGCGCTATACGCTTTGACTAGGAACGGACTTCCCTCTACGTGTCCGCCCATTGCGCCTGCGCGCACCTTTGACAACATTATTAGTTAAAACGTGATAAATGTTTTTTATGCTGGAAGTCCCAGGCTGAAATACGGAGTTCTAAGGGCTCCCACACAAAACTGCGAATTCGCATCGCACATTCTTGCGATATTACGTCATCCTTGATGACGCCATTTTAGTCCGCTCTGAGACAGCTTTAGAGAAAGACGCGCGGCGCCTCCGCCGTCTTCTTTGTTTATAAAAAATTGCGGAATATGATATGGATTTTTTTATATTTTTAATTGAGGAGCGTCCCGTCCTTTGGGACACAAGTGATGAACATTATAAAAATAAATTTATTAAGCAAGATGCATGAAAGAGCGTCTGTGAAAGTTTGCATCAGAGTTCATAATCGTAATAAATGGATGAACCCAGAATCTCCTTTTTCTTTTATATCTATTTAACAATAACAGCAGTGCAATTATCTTTTTGCGATCCATCTTACGCGTCCTAAAAACACGTCCAGTACGGCTGACTACGAAGGAATGGTCGCCCTACCAAACGGTTCGTCGCACTAAATCGCATTGCATCGAATCGCAGTTTTGTGTGGGAGTCTTACATCAGGGGCATGGGACATTTGTTGGATTATGGAAATCATTATTTATATTAGGTTATATATGATATTGGCAAAACCCTGGGAAATCTAATATTAATATAACAACAATCAAATTAGGTATATAAAAAGATTAGTTTTTTTTTAAAAGCAATATATATATCATCATACCAGACAGTATTGTATTCTCTTTTATATCTAGGACACCGTTCTCTTTTTATCTCCTTTTTGGGGGCAAACGGGCTCATCTAATGTTAAGCGATGCATAAACACATAATGCCGACGGTAATATACGGTTTTTCGACTGTTAACAATAATAGAAGGCAAATGCGTTGCCGGCTTTAAAAATTGGTACGCACTTTTGAAGGACCGTTTTTCGATGTCGTGGTGGTGCGCGTACGGTAATAGAGAGCGAATGCGTTGCCGGCTTTTAAAATTGGTACGCATGGTGGTGCTACGAAAGTAGAAAGCAAGTACGTTGCCAGCTTTTCAAGAGCTGGTTCGCACTTTGGTACGTCTTAAGAAGCGCTCAGTTGTAGAATGACGGACATCGAAGGGATGTTCTATATTTTGTTTTTTTTAATTACTCAATACGTAAAGATATTAAAAAAGACTCACTTCAATACTATGGTCTCCAACGTCTACGGGTACAAACGATACGGTGTACCGTTTACTCGCTTCGTTTTCACCTATCGTATCATCGGCCGATACCTGCAAATTATTAAAAAAAATATATAATTTTATTCAGTGTCTTAATTATTTTTAATTTGAGCCAGAAACATGTATTTGACATGAGCTGCGCATGATTGCAGAAAAAACTGATTGTCGCATATATCAAAGTCACACCTGCACTGGAACCGGTCTTCGAGCTGGTCCAAGTACTTCGACATGTGGCGACGCGGGCGAGTCCACGCTGAACGTATACGCATCGCCCACTGATACTTTGTCCGGTGATTCCCCGAACCAGCGCCTATTACGCGGGCCGGCGCTGACACGTGGCACACGAATGGGCTGCCTGTAAAATATTACACCAAATCTAATATGTATATAAAATTCTCGTGTCACAATGTCCCTTCCCATACTCCTCCGAAACGGCTTGACCGATTCTTATAAAATTTTTATGCATATTCAGTAAGTCTGAGAATCGGCTTCTATCTATCAAACCCCTGCTTTGTTATTTTATAAGAAATTTTTTTTTATGAAACAGCATTCAAAAATACATACAACCCTTAAATTTCACCCCTCTACGATCAACCCCTATTTTTTTATTACAGTAGATAGTTATTTTTATTGAACTAAAAAAATGTTTCCTAGAAATAATATACATGGCAAAACAACGTTTGCCGGATCAGCTAGTATTGTATTAAAAAAAACTTTGAGCAACCAACTTGGGTCTATTATCTATCTCTCTCTTTATCAATGAAGCATCTAGAGCGGACTATATGTTTCCACCGGTTTCTGCGATTTCTTATCTTTCTTATCTATAGGACTTGTCCGATGTCCAGCTTCATCAGAGTCCTGGTCAATTCATGTAGTGGACTAAAGAAGATTGAGGCATTCGAAATTTGGTGTTTATTTTTTTACAATTATTATTTTAAATATAATTAAAATATTTTTTTTTATTATATAATTTTTTTTTATAAGACAGTCATCGCAGCACATATTCACCCATTTTTAGTGGGTGCGTAGCCGGCCCTTGAGGGAGGAGTACACTCTAACTTTGAAAAGTTGGAGGTCGTATCTCTCAGGGAAAAGGGAGTCGATTCCACAGCTCGCGAAAAAGAAAGTATCTTGTGAAGCAGACTGTGGAAGACTTCCAGCCATCAAGGTGATGCTGATACAATTTTAATGAAGGAGTCTATAGCGATCTGAAATATTGAGCAGACAGCAAACAAGTAATCAAAAATACTCACCAGGCACATGATCGCCATTAAATCTCAACTCCACAGTGTGAGGTCTCGGATCCCTTGGGGTGAAGCTGATGGCGTATGTATGGGCGCCTTGAGCTGCAGCAGCGGTTGGTACTCTACCACCGTTGACGGTGACTTCTAGATTTCCCGGCCCAGCGGCCATTGTTTCAACTGGAAATAAAAAAATCAGGGATAATCTTTGAAATTGTGAAGGAGCGATTTTGATTGAACTACACTTGTATTTGACCAAATCTTAATATATATAAATTACGTGTCACGTTGTTTGTCTGCTATGGACTCCAAACTACCGAACCGATATCAATCAAATTTGCACACCGTGTGTAGTTTGATTCAACTTAAGATAGGATAGCTTACATCTCAATTTATACCCGCAATATTATTTTATTGCAAAATATTTGTTTATTATTTGATAGTCACAATTCTAACAGATGGCGCTGTGTTGAAAGTACCAACGTTTCACATAAGCTACAATTTAATGGCATAACCACCAATAAAGCATGGTGGTCGCCATGACTGGTGTTCTCTTACCGCTTTCCTTGAATAGTTTACTACTATGTAATATAACAAAAACCTTAGCCACAGCAACGCTTGGCCGGTCTGCTAGTACATTAATAAAAATGTATTTATTAATATGGCGTATACAGCGTATACGCACAAACATGCTTAAATTTAACATAACAATAAAATTAGAGAACTAATATATATATAATTCTATTCAATCACATAGGTATTATGAATTCATTTTTATATATACCAAATGAGAACATTAAAAAATTAAAGGAAATTAATAATAAGTGCGTGCGTACAAAGCACACATCTCAGAAGTGAAACTTCTTTGTAAATTAATTATTGAGTAATTTAGCTGCCCAAATCCCATAATTTAATTTTGCTAGTAGTTCTATAGTAATGAATGATACTAAGGCTAATTAAAAACCAGAACTAAAATTAGTTGTTGTTATGTATATACCACCATAAAAATGGTAACAATTACCAAATAATATAACAAATTCATTATTATCATAATTGCTAACTTATATCCACATTTTCTAAAATAGCCAATTGTTTATTTTACCCTAAAGAAGTTTTACTTAAAAAAACAATACCAACAAAAAACTTGACTCGCTGTAATAAAATTATCAAAAAGCCAGCAACACAATTGTGAGCCTTCTGGTAGTGTAGTGTCCATGGGCGGTTACCTAGACTGAAAATAATAACATACGAACCTAAAAATGTGACAGGTTTCCCGACTGTACCATGAGCAACATCCTTAACCCGTATCGCAGTTACATCATACACCTGTAATAATTACATAAAATATTAATTTTTTTAACGTTAAAACTGAACTATCGAAATTAAAAACGCAGTTTATTGTCGATATAAAACTTTAACGGATATAAAGTTTGGAGTTTAATTTATTTTATTATTATTTAATATGTCATGTGGAACATGGTGTAATGGTTGCAGCTCCTTACAAACGTTGTGTAAAACAAAAATCTTGGCGATGAAAAGAGTGGCGTCTCCGCCAGTTTTCTCCTCCGTTCTACGCCCTAGATTTGAGTACTGGCAGTAAATATAAAATTAGAAGCGTTTAATGTATATTTCTTTTGATGTTCAAAAGTGTACATTGTGTTACCTACATGAATAAATGATTTTTGACTTTTCTGAATGTAATCAATTCAATTTATTTAAATGTGTAATTGATATTTGAAAATGCCTTAAAACGTGTAGCGCCACGTCAGCCAGGGTTTGCTCTTAGAATTCTGTATCGTCATAATTTTTCCCAAATAGGCGAGTAGATCAGCCTACTTTTAGAACCTAAGCACGCCGCTTTCCTCACGATGTTTTCCTTTACTATACGATCGAAAGTTTTGGTGCGCGGAATTTTAGGAACTGACTAGTAAAAGTAAATGTATAGTAATGTTATAATCTATTTCGTCTAAAGAAATTCCGAGTCTAGCGATATAATAATAGAAATCACCCTTTCGTAATCGAAATTTTATTTTGCTCTCAAATATCACACGTTAAAAATGAGGATAATCAAATACACTTTAAACTCTTTATATAACGAATTTCAAGGGACCGAGCATTTTTATTCGTTATAGAGGGATCCGTTATAGGGAGAGAGGAATTGATGTATGGGTATTGGGTTAAACCAAATATATTTAACTCATTTTTACGTAATACAGAGTTTTTAGTTATAACTACGGAAGTTATAAAGAGTTTACAATGTACTTATAAAGTTATAGACAGGATATTATCGTGTGGAAATGACATGAGAACTTAAAAAGCACAGAGCAGATCCATGCAACGTCCTCACAATCGAGTAGCCTGCAATATCGCACACAACTCCCGAGGGAACTCTTTGTATCGAAGTCGCAATAACTGCAAATATTATTCAAAAATCTAATACAACCATACCTTCAGGTGGAACGGGCTGGCCGGTATCGGTTGAGAATCGACAAGAACATTCAAGCGATGTTCGCCAACAGCTCTCGGTACGAATTCCGCTCGAAACGTGCCAGCACCAGCCGCTGAGACCGCAGCCGGGACCGAAGCCCCATTTGGACCTACGCCCCATCATTTCTCAGCTCACCGCTACGCCCTAACTTGCCCTAAATTTATCCCCTAGCATGTAGTCCTACTCGTATTCTGACGTTTCCATTCTAAGCTCCCCAAATCATGCATTTTAATTAGTGCTAATACTAATAATTGTAAGATTTTGGCTCTTTTCAGAAAATTTAGTAGCTGCTGATGTTAGAAAATTTTGATGTTTTTTTTGTTATAGCATAGGGGGGCAAAGGGGCCTACGCAACGTCCAAAACGTCTTTATTTAGGACGAAGATTTACTCGACGAACATTATTGATAAATAGTTTGCCAGAAATCTTATAATTTTCTTACAAATTTTGTGAGTAATTTTTTTCTTAACAGAATTAGCACCAATGTTTAAAGTTAGATTTTAAGAGAATTGTACATCAGAATATTGATCTAAATGAGCAAGTTAGGGCGAAGCAGATGAGCACATGATATATTTATATCTAAACACCGCTTCCGACTACGGATGACTTTTGAACTTTAATAGATTTACTAAAAAAAATCTAAGACAGAAATATCAACGCGTTAATTCAATTCCAATAAAAAATATTTTAAACAGTTCGTCATAGTCGTAGAATAGTGACAGATCTGACAAATAGTAAACTTTAAAGGCAGCCATTTCAAAATAATATAATCATGTTAGTTTTTGTCATAACTATTTTAATTCATATTCTGTTATTATGAAAATTGGCATACAAGCACAAAATTGAAACATAATAAAAATTATAACATTAAATTACACAGTTTTCTAGAAAAATCACAGGCTTCTATTAAATCCGTCAATTTACCGACTGATTAATAGGAAATTAAAACACATGAATTTTTTTTAATGTTGCCGTAATATTTATCCAAATATGATAAAAAATGGATTTTGGTTTTATTTCAAATCCGACATTGTTCTACGATCATGACGAGTTATAAGTTACGAATTCGACAGAGAAAGAAGAGGAAAGAAGAGGAATTTAAAAGACATCATTATTATTTTTAATATTACTGTAGGTTAAGTTTAAAGATGCTTTCACAGAATTTTTTTACATTCGTTAAACAATGTATAGTACAGTTAATTGATACATTGCTTCAGCCAAATAATACTTGTACTATATATTCACCGTGTCATCGGTAGCGGTTATCGCATCCAGTTCCTTAACCTAAATTAGTATTATGAGAATCGTAAGTGTTAGTAGCAAAGCTAAATCTTTCCCTCTAGCCCCCTTAATGTGTTTTTTTTCATTTCCAGCCTGTAATGAAATATGCAATGCTTCTAACAAGGTTTTCGATTGGTTTTATACGGGGTCAAACGACCGTACCTGAATACAAAGCAATCAACATTGTTTATATATTTGTAATATATAAACAATGTTAATTGCTATATATTATAATATGTATAGGGCCGTTCAAGTATAACGTAAAGTGGGGTTTACACGGGTGACTAAAGCCGCACGATTTTTGCGGTGCGGCTAAAACCGACCGTCTAAATGACAATTCGGCTAGGTCGCAAGTGACTAAAACCGCAAGTCCAAAAGTTGAGTAGCATCCGACTTTAGCGGTGCGGCGTACCGGCCGCATGCGACTGTTGACTAAAATCGACCGTGTAAATGATCAGTTGCAGGCGATCGCCCACCGCATGAGGGTTTTTCGTGCACGTTGTGCTACGTACAAATCGTTAACCATTAATAAAAATAATACAATTCAGTTTATATATTCTTTTTGAAGTTATACTTCTTTAGGCGCGTTATGAAAAATTGATGAGATAGTATTGTCTTTGATTAACATAACTTTTATTCATTGAATAATTTATAATAATACATAACTTCAATCCGGTCAAAATAGTGTTTTATTAAATTTATGAGAGTGAAATTTTATGATGCGCGCGCACCGTGACACAAAATTAACAGAATGAAGTTGCCCACGGAAGATGCTACGGCATTGGACATAATTTAAAAACAACATTCGAATAATAATAGAATTTATGTTACACTTAATGAAAGAGAATAATAATAAATATTTATTTATTTAATTTTTCAAATGTAAACTGAACTTTATTGACTATAATGACTCCTTTTCCAGTCCTTGATTATTTAATTGTAATTAATTATTTGCATGCAATCAAAAACTATTTTTAATAATGCCAAAGAAGTATAACTTCTTACGCGCGTACATAAGTACACGCACCCTTTTTTTTTATCCTTGCAGCAATTCTTGAATAATTGATTGACTAACTATTTCGATTCCGGCACGAACAGCCATTCTGCTCAACATTTTGCAAGACCGAGCCGCAAGCAATTTTAGTCACCTGTGTAAATAGGCAAGCGATGCCTCTTGATGAGTCGATTTGCCGCACGGCAAAAATCGACCCGTGTAAATCCCCCTTAAGCATTATATGGTCTTTGATTTTCTTATTTGGTGATTACGTCTACAGTAATTATTTACTTATTTACACACATTGTCTATACTTGAAAACGAAATGCATTTTCGAGGATTCCTACAAAAAACTAATATGTTTATGTACTATTATTTTTGAGAGCTTCGCTTACTTTTGCTGACAAGAGGAGGGGGGAGATACATTGCAGTATATCTGCTTACGTAATACTTGAACAGCTAACTATACACTTTGAACAACTCTTCTATTATGTACTGAATTTAATAAAGAACTTATCATTGAAAACCTACTTTATATTAAAAGTAAAAAAAAACAATGTTATTGACATGAAATTATTATAATATTAAAACTTACCTTCAACATTGACTTCAATTTGTTCTAAAGTAGCGGTGGAATGATGTAAGGTAAGGAATGTTGGCTGATGAAGTGGCACTGGACCTGGTATCGTCACTCTGGCACCACTCACACCACCTTCGGACACATCAATGACTAGAGGACAACCTGGCACTCTCATCTAAAAAGAAATTATAATACTATTAATTATTTAGTATCTTAAATTTATTTTTAAGAAATTAGACCTCTAATAATTTTTCACTTTATTGGTCATACAAATACCAATGTTAATGTTCATTTAAAAATAGTCTTACGATTTTTTATTGCGATAATATATCTTTATATAACAACTATATATCATCATATAGTTGCTATCTATTCTAGTTACATTTTAAAATTAAGAACATCACAAAAGATGATGCTGACTTCAGTGCTTATAGACATAACATTTAATTACAAACAAAAACACACACCAATAATCAAAGAAAAAATAAAATGAGAGATATCAAAAACAATAAAAAATGTGTGTAAAAATAACTAAAGGGGGCCTCATAGCCTAGCGGTCTTATTAAGTGGCAGCTAGGTGAGGGGTACCGGGTTCGATTCCCAGTTCGAGGGCAAGTTTTAATTTAATTCAAATTTGTTCTCGGCCTTTGGGAGGGTTGTGCGGTACCGGGCGAGTGCTTAAACCGTACATAAAGGGCACTGTCGAATTTCTAAAAGACGAGCACGAATTATAAAAAGTCCTATACTTGACGCTGGCTAATGCACAAATCGTGCCAGAGCCATTAAAAAAAAAAAAAAAAACTAAATTATTTTCCGCATAGATAGCCATCATATTTTTGAGAATGATTTATTTCCTTTTAATTATATATTTATATTATAGAAAAAAAAATTGAAGAATAATCAGAAAATTTAGAAAAGGTTCAAAGTCAGAACAACACTTTATAAATACACTCAGAAGTTTGGAACCAAATTAAAAATTTATTCTAATATAATTATTACTCACTTTATTAAATGACACATTGACAACATGTTCACATGCTTCAGTAGGCGTAAAGGAGACAGTGAATCTTGCATTGCCCTGAAAATCAAACATTAAGTCCGATTATTGAATTTGTAGAGAAGTTGTAGTCTAATTATTCATAAGATATAATGTATAATATAAACAAAACCTTTTAAAACTAATCTTTGTTAATTAGTATTATTTTAATATTAGGTCTAAAGGCTTATTTAACTTAGACTATATCTTGATTTCAGACTTAACAAAACATATTTATTGCAAAATACATAATATATAAGATATAGCATCAATTAATCATACCTGTGGATGCACTTGAGTTGGAATGTTAAGACCTCTAGCAGCCACAGTAATTTCTAGGTTCCCTTCCCCAGCCTGGGCTGCATCTACTGCTAACTGTACAGGCACACCCATACGGGCTAATGTTCCTCCTGTCACACTTACTAGTTTGCTATCATATGCTTTACATATAAATGGGGTGCCCTGAAATAAAAAACAAGTATAAATAAACAAATATGTTAAATAAAGAGTGAAGTTCACGTAGTCCTGGAATGCGAGGCTGTGGCTAATCAATGTGCAGAAATCTTTGGAACAGTGAGGTCGCTCCGGGAAGCCTGTGAAGTGCCCAGGAGACTTCTGTGCTTCTGGAAGGAGCTGCACTGGCTAAATTAGCCTAGACTTAACGCACAATGGACCAATTAAGTGTCTAATTGCGGAAACTGAGTCCACCAACCCCTAAGAGTGAAGTTAAACAAATTTCTTGAATTATACTGACAGTATATCTAAACTATGTTGTATTAATAAGTATATCGTAAATTTTTTGATTCATAAGAAGCTCTATTTTAGCTATTAACAAATAGATTATTATGGCTAAAATCTTGCAAACTGTGTGGTTATCGTTGTGAGGAACTCTAATAACAGGCAATTAAATATAACATATACTTAATAACTTACTGGAACTGCTTGATTATTATAATGCGCAGTAAGCGTATGTGGACCGACGTTTTTGGCGGTAAAACTAGCCACCAGACCAGAGACTACATCTCCAGTTAGACGAACGGGGACTTCGCCTCTTGGTCCTTTGACCGTAACATTTAGCTCTCCACCTCCAGAGCCTTCCACTCGTACTGAACATGATACCAGTTCTCCAACAGGTATTAGTTCTAAGGAAGAAATGTTTCCCTTTTAATTATAACTATGAGAATTATATTTAAAAGATAAAAATAGCCAATATTCGGTAGGCGTTAAGAATCAGAATCTTGTTATTTGCATTTAATCTTTATTGTTTCGAAATTATTGGAATTTACTGCGACGGAAGTTTGTTTTCATAGTTATGTTTAAACTTAATAAATTGACAATATTTACTTCTTTTTTTTCTCTTTATGGCTCTGGCACGGTTTATGAATTATATTTACAGTTTATGAATAATAAAAAACAAAGGACAACATAACATAAATGATTGAAAACAATATTTACTTATTAGTTCACTTCACTATATTTATAATGGCGACTTCTGTCAGTGTAAATCACAATTGTCAATTCCTTATTCCGCCAATGCCGCGTTATAGTTACTAGTTACTCATTGTAAAAATCGAACTGTCAGTTGTCAATTGTACAGGTTAATTACTCAAATGTCAAAGTCATTTTTTATCTTTTATTGAGCAGCAAATTCAAATTTAACTAAGATTGAAAAATGCTACAATATATGATTTGTGTTAAATATTTTTTAGTATCGTCTACCTATCTACTTTACATTCTATGCTACATACCATTAGATATCCAACAGCAGCTAACAATGTAAAAATCATATTATTATAAATGCAACCCTAGAATAATAAATAAGTAACTTTACGATATCATTTTAAGTACTTAATTAGATAGTACTAACCTATTTGCGTGGTATCAATAGTGACTCTTTGCGCAGGTGCCACGTGGAATACAAAAGGCGAGGACGGCACAGGCTCTCCATTAAATTTAATGTCAACACGATGAGGCGTCGGTGTTTCAGGCCTCCAAAAAACAAGGCAACGACCTCCACCCACCACCTACAAATAATTTTAATAATTTAACCTTCGCATTAAATTAAATATCCATCATGAGTCCCTTCACTGTCTATTTTAATTAATTTTGGCGTACATTATATATACATTTAAAACGTTTAAAGTCAGTTATGAAATGTTGATTACCATTCAAAAGTGATTGAGATTAATTAATGTAAATTGTAAAGCAAACATCGTTTGCGATATCAAAACTAATTAATTAAACATGCATGTAAAATCGAAATAAAGAAAGTAATGAATAATTTTTCTAAATTACGTTGTGTCCCAAACATTAATGTTACAAACACAAACTGTCATTAAAACTAATTTTTTGGTGGTCTGGGGAAATAATTAATATTTAAATAAAATAATATCTGTGTCAGACGATAAAAAGATTAAATCAAAATATATTTCAGACAATTTTAAATTGTATGCATATTAAACCAGGTTTGCGAAAAATAAAATAGATGGAAGTTTGTTTTCCAGTTATATAAAATTTAAATTATAGATTTTTTATTTCTTAAGCTTAAAGCCTATATACGCAACCTATTAACATTATGTAAATATACTTACTTGTACATGATTAGGAACTTCCCCTTCGTTGATTGAAATTTCTAATTGCCCTTCACCCGCAGCGCTTGCATCGACTATAAAAAGTCAAAGAATTTTTAATTAACTGCCATCACTTGAGCTAAACTTTTAGGTTTTTTCCTAATAACCACAACTACATGACACATAAGTTGGATTAATTATAAACTTATAACTTTATCTATGGATCAGAAAAGTTTTCACAGATTATAAATATCTATTATTCTTGAGGCTCGCGAATTTACGTATTTGCATTAATAATTAATAGCATTTAAATTCTGTACATTTGTATTGTTTTATATAAGGTCACCTCTAAATTGGCTTTGTTGTCCAACGAGTGCGTTTCCCACGTCGGTCACTTTGATGAGGCTGGCATCGTATACTTTGGCAATCAGTGGACCGGCGGCTAGTTTTTCATCACCAATTGATACCTAAAATGAATATCATATTCGTTAATATAAATATAATTAACTTACCTCCCAACTAACTTTTAATTTCGTCTTGTTTCTATTTCAACATTATTCAGTCTCTTTTCATCACAGCGCAAACTAAACTCACAAATGGCGCCAAAACCGTAATTGGCATATTATGCTTGCAAATAATTAAGCGAACTTTCCTGGTGACAGTAACTTCTTAGTCGATATGTTAAAAGGAAACAGAACGATAGACTACACTCATAGATTATACAAATACTAGATTATTTTTGAAAAAGTATAATTACATTTTATTTGAGTATCTGTAAAGCATTTATGAATTTAATTTTTTTTCGTAAATTGTGTCTAAATCTTTCATATATTACAAGGTGTCTTATATATAAAATTGTGAAAATACACGGTGGTACACGCTTACAACTTCATTTAAAACAGTCCAATTATTTATTGTGTAACATTGCTTATGTATATATTTTTATTTAACTTTTTAATTAAAGTAATTTCCGATAAAATTGCATAAAAATACCTATACTCAAAGTCGAAAAAAACTAGTGAACAATTGATAAACTCGAACAATAGTATTGGCTTCTTTTATTTTGGTTTCTGTTGATAGAAAGGCATAAAAATAACCTCTTTGTTAACGGCAATTAATTCCAATTTGTGTTCTACCTAAAACTTGTTGCAATCCATTGTCCCTTTGACTTGATAGGGTTTTTTTAAATTACCAAAAGCTTAATAATTTTCTTATTACTAGTAGTGTTTAGCTAACATTAATATTATATCATACTCTTAGTCAGAATATTTATCTATTTCTATTTTATTTATTATTTCGTGAATTATCACAAACATTATATGTAATGCAAATAAATAAAACGATATAAAATATGTATAGCTAATTAAAATTGCGGTTTATAGAATTTTATAACGAAGACATGAATCAAATACCATGACATATTATATTAACGACTTCAAAAAACCAAAGAAGGTTTGACGATTTGACGAATCTTTTAATGTTCACGCTCCTTCGTCCGTGGACCGTTGTGAAATTGTTATGTCAAATTATCGAGTTCCTAAAGATAATTAAATCTTATGCGACAGGTTTGGGAAGACTGTGAGACGAATGTAAATATTTTAATTATAAATATAAAAACAAATATTTGTAGTATATAAGTTATAGTTATTGTTTGGAATTTTATGCTTTATATTTAAGATTAAGATTTAAGATTATTTATGATTGGATAATTCACACCAATTCACCTAGTCCCATGCTAAGCTGGTGAAGCTTGTGTTATGGGTACTAGGCAACGGATATACATACATATTATAGATAGATAGACATATAAATACATATTTAAACACCCAAGACCTAAGCACAACACCAAATGCTCATCACATCGATGTTTGTCTCAGCCGGGGATCGAACCCTGACTGCGAATCCATGGGGGATTCGCAGTCAGGGGTACTAACCACTAGACCAATGAAAAATATAAATAAATATAAAGTTTTCGTTCCCCATATATAAATTAATTCTGTTGGTAATACAAGACATAGAAATGAAAAAAAAATCCTTTTTAGTGAACTTTGAACTCGATTCATTAAAGGAATTTGTGTCAGTCAATTGTCAGATCAGACTGCTCCGACAAGGCGCCTTTAAATGTTGGCGCTATTTTAAACATCTCTCGATTGGAAATCTCACAACAGAAATAACTCACATCAATTAGGTGTGTTCCAACTTCATCTGGCGTAAACTCGATTCTGAAAACCCCAGGTCTTTCTGCCACATCCAAAACTCTGGATGTCACCAGACGTCGCGATGGAGCTGTTACAGTTACACCAACCTGTGAATAGAATAAAGTGTTTTTTTTATAATCATAAATATTCTTATAATCGACAAATAAAAATCAAACACAACTACAATAAAAGTATTATAATTCTATTAATTATAATATGCAAATCGCAAATTCGTGAATCTTAAGATTTATACTCTGTGTAGGTATACTTTTCGAGCCCATAGATAATCCACAGGTTAAAAATAAATTACCTGAATATCCCATACTATATTATACATAATTTCTCATGTTTATTAAATGTTAAAATTTTAATAGTTTTTGCTTTTAAATTGTCATGTACATACCATTGATTATAATAGCACACACACATAGCGTAACTTTAAATTAATTTTATATATAATCACAAAGAATCTGTTAATAAATATTATATAAAATTTAATTTACTTAGATATAAATAACTTACGTTAATTAGTTTTAGTTTACAAATATTAATACTGCTTCTATAAATGCATTATAAATAGGTATATACGTTTTATTTAACATACTTATACATATATACACTTGTGCCATCGCGCCACACCCAAGGGGACGAATAATGTTACTGTGTCCTCTCATGGATTCACCAATAAATGAACAGCTCTTTGACACAAAATACAAATTTAGAAATGTTTTACGTAAACCAAATAAAGTTTTCTTTCTTTCAAAATATCAGACAACACATTAATTCTAAAAAGTCGAATTGATAAATATTTATATCTAAACAAAAGTAGAACAGATAAAGAGAAACAATAATTTGCAAACATCAATCAGCCTTGGTGTGAGTTAAGTTCGGAGGCGGTTGTTGTAGGGATGTTCAAATGAAACTCTTTGTTTGAAGCTGGGTGTCAACTGTCAACTGGCTTTAATCGTTGACATCTTGAGCTTATAACTAACATAATATTCATATTAATAAATAAATATTTAAGGGTGCGATAATTGCCAACATTGGGTATGCGCTTCTTTAAAAAAAAAAAAATTCTCGCGTAAGCGCTAAAAACTAACTAAAACACAAAAGAGGGTGTCCTAAAAATTTTCCTGAGGGTGTCAGGTGTCCAAAATTTTTCACTGACTTTATTTAGCAGTGGTAACATTTTAGCTTTTTCTTTAAAATATAAAGATGTCATTTGTTTAATATTCAATTTCAGTTTTCTTTTTTTATCTATTAATGTACTTATGTTTCCTGTTACATATATTTTGTTTATCAATGTAATCTGTTTTAGCTTTGTACATTATCTCAGTATTTTCTTTTATAATATGGACTAGCTGACCGGGCAAACGTCGTTCTGCCATATACAGGGTGTCCCAAAAGTTGCGTCGACTTTTGGGACATATATCATTTATAATAAAAAAATAGGGGTTAATCGTAGAGGGGTGAAATTTAGGGGTTTGTATGTATTTTTTAATGTTGTATCATAAAAAAATAAAAACAGAAAAAAATATCTAAAAATAAAAAAAAATATTTAGGGGTGGACTACCCTTAACATTTAGGGGGATGAAAAATAGATGTTGTCCGATTCTCAGACATACCCAATATGCACACAAAATTTCATGAGAATCGGTCGAGCCGTTTTGGAGGAGTATGGCAACGAAAACTGTGACACGAGAATTTTATATATTAGATATGTGCAGCTGTCATATTCCTTATTAATAAAATCAATGATTATCCAGTGGTACGATTATAGATACTCTTTATGAGTGCTTGCCTCACATTACACCTGTTTCTTAGATCTTTATCTCTATCTTTTAATTTTTATATTTTATAAATGATTTTTTTGTTATTTATATTATTCTAATTATTTAAATGATTTTCTTAAGTGTGACTCACGAATTTGGATTTAAGACATGATGGTTTCCTCGCGATGTTTTTCACCATACGAGTTAGAGTTTTATTGAAACACGGCTAGGGTTTTAAGAGCGACCCAAGGTTTGAATAGATAGCTTTACCACTTTTCTATGGGTTATATATATACGTTTTAACCGCTAAAACGTTGATATATTTATAAAATTAATCCAAAAATTGCAAAATTAGTGCTCACAGGTAATTCAGGCCAATAAATAACATCAATCAAACATCAATCTAGTTATCTACAGCTGTCAACCCATTTTTACTGTATGTAATTTGACAGATTAACAACGCTTAAGACGAGATGGACTTGATACGTTTTAGAATATTGCACACAGAGTCAAGACCTAGTGTATAAATCCGGTATTTGATTTCCGGTATACAATACGATTTTGACATGTGTCATAATTAGGTAGAAAACCAGGAAATATTTCCCATCAACCAGTGAGCGTTGAAGCCTCCACAGATAATAAAACATTATATTTTATATACACTTCTAAATAAAACCTTTTTATATAAAATTACGTAACTTATGATACAAACGGTTTGAATGTTGAGTGAATTGAGTTTCATTTGCTAATTTAACGCGCTTTTAAACAAAATGGTTGAATAGGTGTTGTATATAACCCTTTGAGCTTTTTTCAAATAACGCATCAAAAGAATACAACCTTTTAAAAATAATGAGGGAACTGTGTATATTCAATAATTAGTTAACGGTAAATCTTGTCCTCCTGTTTATTACCGTGCCTGATATCCGCATTTCAAACCTTTCGCTGATAAACAAGAAAACAAACTAAGAGTATGTCAGAATAGTATCGAAAGGAGTGTTCTAGGTCTGAAATTTAAAGATAGAGTAAATTGGAAGAAATAAAGGACATGACAAAGTTTAGAAATGCTGTTACTTCTTGTAAAAGATTGAAATGGAAATGGACAGGACACATAATGAGAGAAGATAAAAATGGACGAAGAAAGTGACGGAATGGCTTCCTCGATACGACAAAAGAAAACGAGGAAGACAAATAAAAAGATGGGAAGATAATGTGCGAAGAGTAGCTGGCCCTATGTGGCTACGTAAAGCTAGAAACAAAGAAGAGTGGAAGCCCTTAGAGGAGGCCTATGTCCAAGGACAAGCTGTATAATAGAAGTCAACCGGCGTGCCGATTAATTATTAGTATTTATTTTTTAATTTGTGTATAAGTAAGTTTGAGATAAGTTACAGCAATAAAGGCTATTATTATTATTATAAATCTTGTCCTCGAAGTTCGCGCCCTGGCACCGATGGACTTGGTTCGGGAACACTCGTTCGGGGAAGGAAAACATACTTAGTAAGATGTTTAGACCCAAGTCTGAAGGCTGATCCTTCTAGCCTATTTAGAAAATCAGGAAACAAATACACAGAGGCCCAAAAAGGTTGTAGCTCTTTAAATGACGTCATATAAAAACGAAAGTTGTGATCAGTTCTCTCAATATCGGTGAACAAACTTTGAATTGTGGTACGAAAACTCAATATTGAAATGGGGATCTAACTCGATAGAATGTTTGCGAGGGCGAATTTGAAGGTCATAGCGGCTTGGTGAAACCATTTGTATTTGATGTGAAATAATACATACATATTAGCGTCACGAAGATGTGCAGCGTTTTTGACGAAGAAAAGGGAGAGAGCGATTGAGACCGATTGAAGTTATATTTTTAAAATTAAAATTTCGTAAAGAGAATTTATGAAATATTAGTATTTTATATTTTATGCAAAATAATTTATTGAAATCTCAAATGACGAATTGTAAATGAAAATGCCACGTGTTTTTATTATCGAAGAAATAAACTCAAAAAAATTAATTTGTAATTTGTATTAATTTTCTACATAATATATTCTAACATATTATCTTCCCTTTTCCCTCCCCCTAAGTCTTGGAAATCTAAAGATTTAGATTTGTATAAATATTATGAACAAGACTTAAAAATTAGTTTGCCGAAGAAGTTTCACTTCTGACATGTGCATTTTGTACGCACATTTTTCAATTATTCTCTCCATAAAAACCCACCCGGAGAGTTCAAGAAACAATTACTCTAATTTGTCGAGTTTCGCGCTTAGCAACATATTTTACGATTAATTTTTATTTAGATCTAATAATATTGTTGACCTTGTTTAAATAATAAATGATATATTCATTCGCTTACATTCAATTCACAAATCTCAATCTCAAATTGTAACTTTATTACTTCTAATTGTACATGAGTTACAGGATCCAAAATATTATGGTAAATAGTTTTTATCTAGTAGGTATTGTCATTTCATTGTTTTTGGCACTTTCTGCCTTGCACTTCTTTTTAGAACCAGCTGCCAGTAAGTATTTCCTGCCTTTGGGCATTCAAGAAAAGAGCGTGCCATTCCCTAAAAAGTCGACAACACACCCACTACCACCAGGCGTTGCAGGTGTTCATGGGCGGTGGTTATCGCTTTATTCAAAGTGACCCTGGCCTGGTTGCCTTGGGCTTAGACATTGAGTGTAAACAATAGAAGTATGATACGTATCATTGACCTATTGATTCGCTATCGAATCCAAAATCAAAGCGGACGATATATTGTCAAAGATGTTAGTGTTTGTGACTGACACAAGTCGTAGTTTTACACGATGTTTGCCTTCAACAAGAAATCGGTCAGAGGTCGTAGTATATCTAAAGTTTTTGACGTGAAACTTCTTTATTTATTTATTTTTTAGGCGCATGAGGGTAAATTTTTTACGGAATGTCACGAAGATGTGCAGCGTTTTTGTCGAAGAAAAGGTAGAGAGCAATTAAGACTGATTGAGAGAGAGAGTTAGGGCGAATTATCTAATAGAAATTTTGTTTAAAATTAAAATTTCGTAAATAGAATTTATGAAATATTAGTACATTTATATTTTATACAAAATAATGAAATAATGACAGTTAAATTCATTAAATTCCCAAAATATCTTCCTTCCGCGGCTTGGTGAAACCATTTGTATTTAATGTGAAATAATAATACATATTAGCGTCACGAAGATGTGCAGCGTTTTTGACGAAGAAAAGGGAGAGAGCGATTGAGACCGATTGAAATTATATTTTTAAAATTAAAATTTCGTAATGAGAATTTATGAAATATTAGTATTTTATATTTTATGCAAAATAATTTATTGAAATCTCAGATGACGAATTGTAAATGAAAATGCCACGTGTTTTTATTATCGAAGAAATAAACTCAAAAAAAATTTGTAATTTGTATTAATTTTCTACATAATATATTCTAACATTTTATCTTCCCTTTTCCCTCCCTCTAAGTCACGGAAATCAAAAGGTTTAGATTTGTATAATTATAAACAAGAGTTAAAAAATAGTTTGGCAAAGAAGTTTCACTTATGACATGTGTACTTTGTACGCACGCACTTTTTTATAGAAATAGACTTAAAATCTATATATTATTAATTATTTCAACTATCGTAAAATATTTCGTGTATCGCTTAATGCACGGTCAAACTCGTTTAGATTTCTATTTGAATAATTTACCCAAATGCATTTTATACTCTGTTAGAATTATTACTAGTTTGGTTTTATAATAGTCTTTGAAGCGATCGCTACAAATGAAAATACAACCTCTTTTTGTGTTTTTGCGCTAATTTCATTCTTTTTTAGTAAATGTTTTTTGTTGGGTAGCCTAGACTAATAATGAAGAGATAATGGTAATTATGAATTCAGTCTCTCTATGATACGACTGTAATTAAAACCTTTATTAATAGGTCAAGTGGCTAATTTTAACCAAGTATATTATTCGTTATCAAGGCTATTCGTAATTATCTTTTGTTTATAGAAAAAAGTGGGTATTAAAATAAATAATCTTTAGTTATCACACAAATCAAAATATTCCCGCCATTTTGAGTAATTGACTGGGGTTAAGTGTCATTGGAATGACAGTTGACAGCCGAGTTGCATCACGAATATCTCTAGAGATTATAATAATAAATACTTGTTATGTGGCTCACGAAGTCCTTCTAACATAATTTCGAGCTAAAAACTCAAATATATACCTATTTTCTATATGCATTGGTGGCAGCGTTTTATGTTTCATATTTTATCATCAACTTTGTTAAATGATTAATATGATAATTTATAGGCCGTGTTGTAGTTCAATGAATATAAAAATCACATCAAAATAACATGACATTGACATTGACTGTCAGTTGTCACTACAATGACACTAAAATCCTTCTTCTTCTTTTTTGTGTGTTTGTCATAAACAAAAGAAAATAAACTAGCCTTGACAACAAATATATTTTTTTGTTTTTATTAACACTTTTGACCTGTTAGTAGTATAATGTGCACTTATGAACGTCAGTAAAATAATAATCCTTCTAAGTTTACTGCCAGTTCTGCCGACGGAGAACGACAAGAACTGGCAATTGACTCTATTTAAATAGCCAGTCGCCTTTACAATATATTATGTACTGAGCTGCATCCGTCATGCTCCTCACAACATTTCAAAGCAATTATAATAATGAAAAATAAATTAATAAGTAACAAACGTGAATTAACGCTCTTTGAAAACATTACGCACCTAGCACCCGGTGATTTTTTTAGAACGGTGTGAACTGTAGGCTCATCTATTGTTAAGTGATACATGGATACTCCAACGGGATCTTACGGCATTTTCATGAAGGACCCTAAGGTTGAATCAAGGCAGAAGATATTATATATCAATAAGCTTGGAGAATTTAAAGAAAAAACTAAGTTATAAGTTATGTATTATTATAAAAAAAAATTAAAATCTCAAGAAAAACAATCCGCGAAAATAGAGGACACCGTGAGCCCGTTTTGCCAAAACACTCCATCTTTTAGTCGATACCAACTCCGGGGAATTAAATATAGATAATACAACTTTTTCTACAGCTGTGATACTTTTTGACATCCAACACCTTTTGTCTTCAGTCACCGTGACCACGCACGCTGTAAAGCACGCGTAATGTCGGATAAATTTAAAATTATGTTTAATAATTGTAAATTTATAATAATACATAACTTTAATCCGGTTAAAAAGTTTTTTCTTTAAATGTGTAAAGGTTATGTCAATAAAAGACAATACTAAGCTTGGAGAATAGTAAAACACGAGAAGAGAACATACAGATTTTAAATTGGCAAAGCATAGACTATGTGATAAAGCGCGCCTTAGACTTATTATAAATAAATAAATTACGTATTTTATTTACTAAATGAAAGCCATGTGAAATTGCGAAGAAGGGGCCAGTTTTTCCGTGCCATTTTCCATATTTGTGATGTACGTACTAACTCGTTTTGAGTGGGAATTGTAGGCGTGGAAGCTAAATGGAACTCCGATAGGAAATGTACTTAACGCAAAATATCAACGTCATGGTGTACTATCAGCAAAAAAATATCATTATATTAAAATATTGGTAATTTCATTTTATTGTAAGTGAAATTTTTACATTATTTTAATCAATGATCTTTCTCTGTCTTGATCATTTCTCTTCGGTCTCGATCAGGCTCCACTACAGGACTGATTTGGAAAATTCTTTCGCCATTAAAACCCTTCGTTATCCCTTATGAACATAAGCTATAGAAAATTTAATAACAAGTTAAGATTCTGTATGTACTGGTAAAGTGGTGTATGTAGTGATAAAGACCAATTCAATTTCAAAATCGCATTCGCTGCGGAAGATATTGACCATAGAGCAAAGTGATGTACTATAGTTTTATAGAAGTCAACAATGTCAGCAAAAAGTCCAACAAAAATATGAAAGTTTATTTACCCAGAAAATCTTTAAAACATCGTGCTATGACTAAATTAATGCGGGTAGAACCGCAGAGCATATTATTATTTGTATTGGTTTTAGTATTGAAAGTGTTGTGTTACCTGTAATTTAATTTATTTTTATTTTAGTTATACACTTCTTACATGTTACTCTTAGTAGCATTTTTTTTCCTTTAGTAGGGTTGATTAGAAACGCGTGCTAATGACCGCCTGTTGCCTTATAATTTAAACAACCTTTTATAATTATGTTTGAGGTAACGAAGTGTAAATAAATGAAATCACTATTTAATGAATGTAAAAATACATAACGTAATATTATTTATTACATTATAACACGACATTTCGGGTTTCTTATTAGCATTCATAACCTGTCTTCAAAGCCCCATTAATAGATTCAAAAAACCTACACCTACCTTTTAGGTCTAGGCCTAAGGTTTCTGTATCTGTTTCATGATCTGTGCCCGTTAACAGATATAAAGTAGACTATTGAAATGTTGCCATATTAACGCGATCTATTTCCGCGATGTTGGTATTTGCAATATTCAGTGTTGCCAGTTTCGTTCGTGTGACAATGACATATATCTAACGGGGACCGTAAATTCCCGGGTTAAAAAGCCTATGCGCTATTCCAGACAATCAATCTCTTTGCCTCCAGATCCGTTCTGGCGTGATTGAGTAACAAATATTTAAAGGCATGTCTTACTTTACTTTGCTGACGGTACATATAATGGCATACGTCGTATTAAATATTTATATTAAGGGAAGCTTTAGCTAAGATAAAAATAATTGTAACGCCGTGCAGCAAGGTGATTTTCTAAAGCGTTTGTAAACCGTTAAAACAATTTTTTAATTATTGGCATGATCTGGATTCCTTCCAGAAATTCTTCGCCTGTCATAATAAGTTAATTTCGTCGAGGATCAAAAAATAATATATGTGTATTCGAGTTATTAATGAATGATAATTAACACGTAAAAACCTATGTTTACGGTACTGGCATAACTAGTGTCGACTTCGCCATCTTGCCTAGACGCGTTTTGGCGGGTTCTTGAATTAACCGAATTAAATATATTATTGTACATATAGTAAGTAATCATAATCTGAAATGGATAATCAAATAGCACATTCTATGTAGATAAAATATATAAATACTGTATAATATATAATCAGTTGAGAGTAGGGAATAATATATAGGTACCGCCCGAGTACTTGGCTTTGTGATTGAAATTGTTTTCTTGTGAAATATTTTATTCTTGATTTATTTGTAACTTTGGGCTTTGGGCAACGACCTTAAATAAGGTGGTAATATGTTAATAGGAAAACCATGTATGTGGTTAAGTTTATTATCGATTTATAAACATACCTCATTCTTAGTAAATGTGTTGTCCCCATGCGCGGTAGATATTTCAAAAACGGCCGGCACCCGTGCGGGGATCAGCCGGGTGGGCTCGCCCCCGCCCCCCACCGGTCCTGCCATCACGTCGACTTCCCACGGAGACCCTGGACAAACAACAAATGACAATATTAATGATTACACGTTCGACTCTCAACCCTGAAGTCGGGCTTTCAATCATTAAATAAATCATTTAATAGGTTACTGATATTGCTTATAAAAGTAGGGATGGAAATATGACTTTACAGTAAGAACAAAACGCTGAAACAATAAATCTTGACAAAACCTTCAATGGTATGGGCCAGCAAAGGAGGCCAGTAACTTCTGGACCTTAGTCACTAGAACCTTCCATTCAGTCAAAATCATTTATTAATTTAGGTAACACAATGTACACTTATGAACGTCAAAACTAAATACATTTAAAATGCTTTTAATTTTACATTTACTGCCAGTTCCCAAATCAAGGGAACGGAAGAGAAGAACTGGCAATAAACTCTCCGCCACTCTTTTAAGGAGCTGTTACCATTACACCATGTTCCACATGACATCTCTAAGTAATAGTTAATTAATAATAATTAAGTGGTTAGACTACAGGATCCTCTCTTAAGTTGGAGCAAAGAGCAGCTTTCTTCCACCACACGATTTTTAAGTTTTTAGTTTTTATTTAGCGATGGCACATGTTTAAGTTTGAGCACGGCAGACATATTTTTTTTTATAAATATTAAAGAAGACAAAAGGTGTAAGTGGTCTTACTAACTATAGCTTCTATACGACTCTGGGTTGTCAATAAAGAAATATAATATAGTAAAAATACTATACAAATAAATTAATAATCATATTAATACAAATTAATTAAAAAAAAATTAAAACAAATTTTCAGTGTACTTTTAACGCTGGCAGTATTTCTTCGCTGTATTGCGATACTTATTCGTTGAGGAAAGCACCAGCTCTGGGGTAACCGGTACTATCTACCAGGCGCCAACTTAAATCTTTAATTAGCGCCTGTGCACTTGAACCCCACGTCTCCAGAGTCTACTCCAATGGGACCTTGTAAATACTGTATATTTGATTGTCATGTTTAGATTTTCATAGACTATTCATACCTTTTTCATATAAATAAATATAGACTACTAATAAGTTTACCATAGATTTAATTGGTTAAAGATTTTCGGTTGTATTGCTTAGGCTGTTGGTTGTCGAAACGTTTCACATATCTAATATATAAAATTCCTCCGAAACGGCTCGACCAATTCTCATGAAATGTTGTGTGCTTATTGGGTATGTCTGAGAATCGGACAACATCTATTTTTCATCCCCCTAAATGTTAAGGGTAGTCCACCCCTAAATATTTTTTTTTATTTTTAGATATTTTTTTCTGTTTTTATGATACAGCATTAAAAAATACATACAACCCCTAAATTTCACCCCTCTACGATCAACCCCTATTTTTTTATTATAAATGATATACATGGCAAAACGGCGTTTGCCCGGTCAGCTAGTTATATATATATATTATTGGTTGAAATAGAGTTTTTCATTTGGAATATATATGTATGTAAAAAAATAATACAAGAAAAAAATTATATTCATAAAAATACTATACGAAATACTAACACTTGATGATATTTTTCTTTATATGGGCAAACGAGCCTACGGAACAGCCATAAAAGGCTACAAGCTCATGGTCACCTACGTCAGTGGGTGCGTTGTCGGCATATGTGCACAGAGCACATCAATACAGCCTAATAAATAAACAGTGCTACGTTTTAGGTCTGTTTCATCATCATTTGTTTATTTCTAATAGGCTTTTTGAAGTGAAACTTCTTTATCGAGGTTGGAAAAAAATTTAGTGTAACATTTTTTCGTTACGCGTCACATTTTTCGGTTACGCGCCATGTTGCTTTTTGAAGTCAAACTTCTTTATCGGCGTTGGAATGAAACTTCTTTATCGACGTATGGGAGAAATTTTGTAGCAAATCGTCACGTTTTTCAATGATAGTAATAATTCTATTACAATTAATGAAATTCTATAATAATCTTCGTAGTAATAAGGTAAAATGAAATATTTGTATTCATGTCTATGATAATAGAAGCCTTTTGTTAAACTTTATCTAATTTAACGAATTTCTGTAAATGTGATCATTTTTCGAAAAATAAGATCATAAAGAAGTTTCACTTCTTACGTGTGTACACCTAGTACACGCACAATTTATTATTTTTACTAGGTTTCATCACGTTTTCCTTCACCGTACGAGCCAGTGTTAAATGTACATAGGCAGAAAATCCATTGGTGCTAATTGAACTTACGACCTCAGGGATGAGAGCTGCTGCATCCACTAGGCCAACACTGCTACATAAGAACGAATTCTACGAAAAGGAACGTGTAAGTAATTAATGTTATAATAATCCTATGATTTTTCGGTTATAAGATTTATTTTTACCAAAAAGAAAACAGTTCAAATACCGTTTAGTTTAAAATGAAGCTTAATACAAAGTAATAAAATTCAATTTACGATAATTCCCAGTCACACGAAGCAAAACAAAGGAGCGATCAATCACTAGAAAATAACGAAAGCTTCTACAATAAAATTAAGAATCTTTTATAAAATAATATCATATAATGACTTTCAGCTAATTAAAGAAATAAAATATATCTATTTTATACTAAACTGCGTATTATTTAAAAGAAATTCTTTACTTATGATATTTTTTCTTTAGGAAAGAGATTGCAAGGTCAATTTTATAAATAAGTTTAATAATTTATACAAAAAATGAGAGGAAATAGTTACGTACGTAAATTACTTATCATATTTTAATGAATTTTTGTGAGTAAATAATATTTATAATAATAAACGTTGTATTATTCCAATGGGGAATTTTAGTACTATCAAGAAAACATATAAATCGAAAATCTTGACACATTTTTGTCTGTGACATCGATTTTTGTACAGTGCCGTACAAACAAATTCGTACTACCGTTGCCATTTTGAAATGTCAGTTAGCTGTAATTTTTTGGTGCGTACTGACAATAAATATTTTTACTATCTACCAACATCTAATAAAAATCCAATTAAATTTTTATTCCTTGCATTATGAATTGCAAGGTTTTAATTATCAAACGGTTCGGATTGCTATTTGAGATTGGTATCTCAAAACTTAGTGATTAAAAAGAGTGGCGGAAAGTTTTTTGCCAGTTTTTCTTGCCCGCTCTACGCCCTTGACTTGCGAACTGGTAGTAAATGTAAATTTACAATTGTAAATTAATTAATTTAACTTTCTTTTTGACGTTCATAAGTGTACTTACTTGTTTACCTATATGAATAAAGATATTTTGAGTTTGATATTATATTAATAGTACAGGTAACAAAACCTATCATATCAGTTGTTCCTAAGTTTGTGTCACATTTATTTAAGCCTAGAATTGTATTTTCTAGATACTAGTTTTATTAAGACATTTCAATAAATTATTATGCTAGCCTGCATGACTTCAAATTTCCCCATATAATGGTTAATTTTTATTTACTGGCAATACTAATAATAGCGACGCGTTTACCGGCCAAGAAAAGTAAGTGGCACTGTAAATGCGCATAAATACCCACATTCTTCTAGTTCAGCGTCGTTACTCTGTAAAAGCGATCATAACGTTTTTGTATGCATAAAACAACTTACATATTCCAAATTTTTAATTAATAAAATATTAACCTCTCATTTTCAAAGTTGATATTTTTCGTGCTACCATACTAGAGTCTAGCTAATGAAAGTTGATACTGAAAAAGCGCGGCAAATTTAAAAAAATATCAGCATGGCAGCCCTAAAGTAAAAAGGAAAGTTGGAACAACTCACTTTGATACTTTGACATTCATTTTTATTTTACTAGTGGATGCTTGCAATTTCTACTCTTGTAGGTTTTGTGGACATAAGTTTCATCTAAGTAGATTATTGGCTTGCCTTCTGCACGTTTCGATGCAATAGTACGCAAAAAGCGATGTCTCCATGCAGCTATATCATATCGTTCAATTAATAATAAACGTTCATTTTTGTTTTTCTTAAATTCATAACCGTTGGCTAATAATCTCAAGACTATTTATAAAAGAACAATAACATTATCTAAAGTACCTAACAAAAACTAATATGTACTTATTTAAAATAAAAAAATATCAAGACATATTGACCGTACTAACTTTAGTGTTGTCATATAAAAAGTTTGCAAAAAAATCCAGTATCTACTTTCGTTAGCTAGACTCTACCATAACTTGTATGTATTTGTAATGTGTAAATAAATTCACTCCGTCAAATTGTGTTACCACTGTGATGAAAAAGATGAATTAAGTGAAACGGTTACTTGAATATAATATTTAGGACAGTTAAACACATCGTAGTTAAAACCCTATACTGTTTACATGTATTTAACTTTACCGTTAAATCAACGCATTCAAAGTCCTTACTAATTAGCTACGCTCCAAGCTAACTGTCACTTACTTAACAACACGTACAAGTTTAACCAAGTATTTAACGTTTGTGATTTTTAAATGTTACTAAAAAGTCGACGCTCGCTTCGGGTCATAAATCATATTTATCTGTCTGTCTCGCTCGCACTTACAGGTCTTATCGAGAGGAGTAGTGATGTGTGTAAGAAGTGTAGAGGTGCATATCGATAACGGGATATATATGCAAAATTATGCTAAGTATTAATAGGGGGCCTCATAGCCTAGCGGTCTTATTAAGTGGCAGCTAGGTGAGGGGTACCGGGTTCGATTCCCGGTTCGAGGGCGAGTTTTAATTTAAATTCGTTCTCTGCCTTTGGGAGGGTTGTGCGGTACCGGGCGAGTGCCTAAACCGTACATGGAGGACTTGATCGAATTTCTAAGGCAAAAAGCACGAATTATAAAAATCTTATACTTGACGCTGGCTAATGCACAAACCGTGCCAGAGCCATATAAAAAAAAATTAAAAAAAGTATTAATAGATGTTTTTTTTAATTTCTTCAAAACCACGTTAGAAAATAAGTTCTCCATCGTATTGCGTAACGAAGCGTAAGTAATTGAATGAGTGTCATAACAATTTTTTTATATTTATAGAAAAAA